TTCATTGATCGTTTCCCAAGTCATAGTTGAAGAAGGCAGAATAGTTTCCTATTGTCGCCTAATCGAGCCGTCGCCTCCATTCTTGAGGCCATGTCACTCAAATAGAGATTTCCGTCCCTCCTTGCTGCTTTCGTTGCAAATCTTTGAAGCACCCGGTAGTCAGGATTACCTGACATTTGTGCTTTGGCAGCTTTACAGACAATTGGATAGTTGCTTCCGAATACCCAACTAGCACATTTCCTACTAGTATGTTCTTCGTTGAAGTGGCTAATTTTCGGAGACATTCCTTTAATTTGAACCAGTATTCATTTGCCGTTGGTTGAAGTGTTGGTTGTCCGGGGATTTCCACGTGATTAGATGTTTTCCATGATGCCGGAAGCAAGTATTAGTAACTAAAAGTTCATACTCTTCGGCATAAAGAAGAAGACGTTCCCCATTGGCTCACCGGTTTCCGATGCCATATTTGCCAATTGTTGAGGTCATCACAGCTGCATTATGAATTGTATACCCTCGTATTTTAGAGGTACTGTTGACCATTGCGAAATTGCATTTGCTGAGAAATTCCACAATATATTCCTGGTACGCTTTCGTAAGTCGAATGCCTCATTTTTTATTTCCCTAAGATTTCGAAGGCATATTTGATAAAAGCATACTATATATATATATATAAATACTCGTACGATCATAAATCATATAAATTAAACATTACAGTAGCGGAGTTCCCAAGTTTTTTGATCAATTCATTCTCGTCCATATTGAAATTTGAAATTTGAATCAGTCAGTATCTATTAAAATGGAGAGTAAATAAAGATGCATATAAGCTGAAAGGTAAAAGATAAAAAATTAATATAAAAGATTAGCACTTTTTCTTAATCTTCTTAACACCTAAAGTATTAGTTTCATTTATCTAATTTGCAAAACATTTCCATAATCTTTTCATAATGTTTCTGTACAAAGAATTCTCAAAAATATAAAAAGTTAGGAATGGCCGAGCCCTGTTCAAAGATATGCTAAAATATTAATTGCTTTCGATCATTTTGATATTTCGAGTTTTTTAAATAATTATTTTCAAAAAATGAGTTTTGAAGGAAACACTTGCCTATGAACGAAAATTGCTTATTTTTTTCCGATCCTGTAATATGTATAATAATAAGCAAAAAAATTAAGTAGAATTAAGTTTATTAATGAAAGATTATATAAAATATTGCATCATTTTATAATATAGTATATTTTATGATGTAATATAATATATTTTATGATATAATATTATAATAATATAACAAAAAATAGTATAAATACGGAAAATGTGGAAAATATTTTGTTTTATATTATTATATTAAACTATATCATGATATAAAATAGAAGTAATATATACACTGTATAAAAAATACATTATATAATATACTATATATTAATATTATAAGTCGAATTTTATTGCGAAATCGCATTTGGTGTTTAGGTCAATTGAAAAATAAGCCTAGGACCAGGCTTCAGAGGTCATAAGGCCTTAAAGTAATGAAACAAACATTAAAGGATTCGATTTATGTAAAAAAATTTGAATCCACGAAAAGAATACAAAATTTCAAAAATTTTGAAATCACCCAATAAATTAATTAAAAATTATTTATTAATAAAACATGTGCTCCACTGATTAAAATTTTTATTTCAACGAATTATTTTACGAAAAAGTTGTTGATGATTTTGTGAAATAAGCTGAAGCGAAGTAAATAATTAATTAAAAATAAAATAGTTCATGGCCGTTGATGAAAAACTGAAAAAAAAGAAATGCATACTCGGGTGATCAGTCAACCTACTGTGCGCTATCACTTAGTCGCATTGAATTTTATCAAAATTTAGGAAAGAAGGGAAGGAGGATGGAAGTAGGGAGAGGGGAGGAAAATCCAGTATGAGGCAATTTTTTTGGAAGCCGTGCAATGCTTTCGCTCCGATCCTTCGACATGATAACAGAAAAATTGAATGATCTAGCGATGAGATGACAAAGTATGAAATTAATTATTATTGGGCCAAAACCGCTAACGAAGGCCTTTGGAACCAACAATGATAATATTTTTAAAGAATCTTTTTTATTTCTTCTTTTGCACTTTTTTTTCGGAAAACTTTTAGCGTTCATTACAGATTAATTAATGAATAATTAATTTTAATAATAAAACAAAATAAATAATAAATTTAATAATAAAATAAATAATAAAAAGTTAATATAAATGATTCAATTTTTTTTCGCATCGGTTAGTTTTTTTCTGTTCGATTTCTGTTAGATCTCTTAGTTTTTTTCAGACTTTCTTCGGCTTTTTTTGTTTTTTCTGAAGTTTCCCATTTTTAAATTCAAATTTTATTGAATTTAAATCAACTTTAAACTTTAATTTTAATTCCAATTTTTCCAAAAATTCTCAGAAATTTTTCCTTTAATTTTTCAATTTGTTTCAAACAATTTAATTCTTCTTCTAAGGTCACTCTCTCACCATTTTTGCAATATTTAATGAGTTCTGAATATTGCAAATTTTATATTATATATATTTTTGCAACCACATAAGTTACTGCTAGGCTCTATTCAGTCAAGGATGTATCCTTCGAGATATCACTAATAAGAATGAAGTTCCTTCATCAGAGAGTTATTTTACGATAAAAAATGATAGGTCGAATGATAATTATTTACTTTAATTTGTTTATAAAATTTTTTAAATTTATTTCATATTCTTATAAGTAAATAATGAAATAAATCTATAATAGCTGAAATGAATTTTTTTTCGACAAAAATAAAATGCATTTTTATGCATTTAATGAAGAATTATTGAGTTTTATTGTTTAAAAATTTTATCAGTTTGGTTTTATCAGTTTGAATAAAAAAAATGAAGAAAAATGGATCTCAAATTTTGTCTTAAGAATAAAACGTTGTTAACTGAAAATTCTCATCAGCCTCCCGATAATGAGCCAAGAATTTTTTGAGAATTTATTGAAAAATGCGAAATTAAAAAAATGATTTCTTTCGTCAAAAATTCTTTTACGGCTGTCGTAATGAATTTATGAATCCTCTTGGCTTCTATTATTCAACTAATTATTCAGCTATTTCAAATTTCCGCTGGTTGTTGGTTTGAAATTGAATTTTTTAGATTGCCACCATGGATTTTAACGTGACACGTTAAATCACTCCGGCTGAAAAATAATTTCTTAAAATAATTCCTATAAAAAAATGAAAGAAGCCACATTCACCTATTGGTTTTTATATTATAAGTGTAAAGTTACTTCCATAAAATCTAAAATTCCCAGTAATTCCCGGCAAACCATCGTATCGTCGTACCGTCATATCGTACCGTCGTATCGTATTTCTATTAAGATTTAGCGAAGAGTTCAATTTAAATACGATTGTGGCAGTTTTGGAAATTTTTTATTGCTTTTTGTAATTTGACTGCATGCGATCATCATCTTCATGATTTACTGACGATTCGCTGGAGAAAGAGAAGTACGAAATTATAAATCGCTCTTTCAAATGAATTTCTCATAATGATTTCATGAATTAAATTTATTTTTTATAAAAATATTTTAAATAATTAAAAGGTTAACCTTTGAAATTTCTTATCGCATATTTGGCAAGTAAAATTTTTTTCGGTGAAATGCTTGCGGCGATGAGTTTCGAGACGTGTATTTGAGGAAAATGAAAGCGTACAGAGATCACAACGATATGCTCGAGTTGAATGGATATGTGAATGTCCTTGTAATGCGCTTTCTGATGCAAAAATCTACAACAATGAAACATCAGAAATATTATGGATGTAGGGAGCTAAGCGACAACTATCCACACCCTATCCAAATATTGTTATCTTTATTATTATCATTTCAAGCTTCGACATTTGGCAAGAAAACTGCTCCCCAGCATAGTAACACATTCTTTTTGCTTACAGTCAAGAGGAAATGAGTTAGACAGCATATCGGCAACAATTAAAAATCGGGTTCAGGGTCAATCTAAATGAACCTTTCCGTTTATATACTAAACTGTAGTAAAACTGAAGTAAACTGTAGTGAACTGTGCCTATTTTTATCAATTTATCACGTAAGTGCCAGGCTTTAAATGTCTTGATCCAAATGCAAATTACCGAGCCCGAGTAGCTGCAGTAGTTAGAAATGTATTTGCTTGGCGAAATCTCTATGGAATCATCAGAAATTACTATTTCATACAGCTATGAAATATGGTCAATAAGCGTGGAAGATATTCACTTGTCTTTTTTTTCGTAATCGTTGAGAGGGTAAAATCTTACATAGTTATATCAGCTTATCTCAAATACCATTTGCTTTAGCTTTGGCAATATCGCGAGAGAACGTCGAATAGTCTGGTTAGACTATGTTTTTCCCTTCCCATCTCCATCGCCGATCGCAAAAAATTGATGCGGGACCACCGCACAATGAACATTTCGATAGCACAGACACTGTTAAACGCGATTTTATCGCGAGAAAAGGGACTGACGAGAGTGGGATTCGAACCCACGCCTCCGAAGAGACTGGTGCCTTAAACCCTACCTCACTAACTGCTAAACTGTATAGATGGTTTCAAAAGCAATGAAAGCCAATGAAGAGAACTGATAATCAGAAGAAATTTTGAATGATCTAGCCATATATGTCTGGGCCTAGAAGATAAAAAAAGGTGAATGGATCCCCCTACTTTTAGGAATGGCATCGAATCGATGTGATTGGAAATTCTTTACCCCAACGAAGCTAATGGTGGGTGCTTACAGCTAACTAACTGGAAACACCGAATATGCATATTTCAAAAAAGATGACATTATTCTCAATATTTCTGTTGTTTTATTCTTGCCTAAATCAATTGTTATTTTTGCACTTTTTTTGTATTGTTATGCTGTTTATTTTTTACCATGAGAGTTAGCTTATACGCTCTTCATTATTTGTTTAATAGATGATAATTGACTCGTTTCGATCGCTTTGAAGAAAAAGTAATTAAACTATATTCTCCATTTTAGATGAAATACTTTTCATTTTACCTTAGGGCAAAGTGGACATTGATAAGAGATCCTTGGTAGACTTTGTTGGAAAATTGGTGTATACGATTCACTAAATGTTCTAAAAAAAAAATTTAATTTGGCAAATTCAGGTGGAATAATTACTTAAATTGAAATCGTAGAAAAAGCAAAAAACCATTGGGATTGAATATTATCAACAACGAATATGTTTAAATATGAAAATTTTTTTTTTTTCTGATCAAATCACAATTTGAAAATTTCTTAAAGAAGTGCGAATCTAGAATTTAGCCGAATTTCAACTAAACTGACGAAAATGGATCTTATTTTAACAATCTGTAAGATGGCTAGAGGTAAGAATGGTCAAGAAGTATGGCAGCTTCGGTTTAAATCGAACATCATAGGTTCCATTCCCTTGATAAGAATCTCTAATAAAGAGTTAAATTCGAGTGCTAAAGGCCTACAGGGCAGAGACACCGCCTGTTCTCCCCATATCGCCATAAAAGTCATTAAAACCAGCCAAACTAGATGGCAAATGCTGCTTGGAGAAAGAAGTTAGAAATAAAGAAATTTAACCTAAAAAAATTTTCGGTTGCATGGAGCATTGGATTTGTTGCATCTTGACCTATGCATTTGTGATTTTGAAGGTCAGAAATGAAACGAAATGATTTTGGGCAATTTTGACAGTGTAATGCGGTTTTTGTATAGTTATGATGCGAGTCCAAGTGATTTAGAAGTCGTTGCAAGTCTTGACCAAAATTTTGGTTACAATATGCACATTCGCCAAGCGATGAATGCTCAAATGAATGCGAGCGCAAACGTTCCTCACTTGTGAATGACTGCAATAATTTCAATAAAACTGAAGTTACCCAATTTGAAATTTAGGTAAAATTAATTAATAAATTTGAAGGGAGTTATTGCAATAATGAATCACTTATCCACTTATTACTGTTTGTGAAAACATTTTCTAACGGCACTGGCCTACGCTTCATTGGCTAAGGATGATAACCCTTCGTCAAAAAATCGTTTGTTATAGTTGGATCTTCCAGCGCTGCTCGAATTTTCATTTTTATAGCAGTTTCATCCCACATCAATAGCCAGAAATCGATGAATAATGGCTTGAACGTAGTGAACCTGCCACTTGACATCCTCGTCCCCATTAAATAAAGAAGCGAAAAAAAACTTAGGGTATTGTTTTTTCTTTAAATTGACTACAAAAAGATGGAAACTGTTATCATAAATTTACCTGTAAACATATAATGCATCGCCAATCGGTCTCATGCTCGCTTATCTCAGCAATTTGCCCGGTAATCATATCATCATTTCTCTCCTGCATATGCATATGGAATTTAGCATGTGACTCAATTTGTGCTTCATTACGAAGTGCTTGTCGACATACTATGCATGCTGTTGTTTGTTCGCTCATATGTTTACGAGTATGGTCTATGAATTGAGAAATGTTATGAATTTTCTCTTGACATTCAGCGCAGCGATCAGATCGAGGTATCTAAATTTTAAATTATAGTTATTGATAAATTATAATTTTTTTCATTTGTTCCAAAATTTCGAACCATATTTATTTATAGCAAAATCAAAAGAAGATTGGTGACAATCTTTGGAATTTCTTCAAGCATTTGTAGGATAGTAGGATAGTTTTGGTCATAATTCTCACATTCAATTGTAACATTATGTACCAACTTCGCCAACTTTCTTTGAAAATTTTTCTGAAGATCGGTCTCACCTTACAATGACAATAAAGTCTGTGTGAATCAAGTTCTTCATCATTTTCAAACTTTATGTCGCAAACTAAGCATTTCACTGACCGGTTATCTGTCTGAAAATACAGCAGAAATTACTATCCTTTTTCGATGAATTCATCAGCAACCAAGAGTTATTGATTATATGTTCTGAATTTAAGCAAAATTAAAATATTTATTATTTTCAATATTTTCCCACTTTTATTTGGTGACATTGACAGCGAAAGTCGTCCAAAAAATAAGACAAATATGCTGTTCCTGTTTATTTTAAAGAATTATTTCAAAAAAAAAAAAAACGAAACTACCAAACATTTTTAAGGGTTATTGACCATAATTCAGCCATGCGATCAAAAAAAATGATTATGATTAATCAGCTCAAAACTTTTTCTAAATTTCATCTACTGATGTATAGAAAACAATCCAATTCAAAAAATTTAAAATTCAACGATTAATTCAACCGACCGCTGAACTGATCGAAGATAAATTTCGATCGATGCTAATTGGTGTTATCTGATCGCCGCTATCGCCGACATTTGATATGTGATTAATTGGTCGATCATGGATTAACTGAACGTGTATCGCTAAGAGATCATTGCTTTCGAATAGCGTGTTACATGCGGCGCACTGATATTGCATGATCTCTTCATTATGCACGTTTAAATGTTGCTAAAAAAAATAATTTATTAAGTAATTTTAAATACTCTCATAAATGATGGACGCTTAATAAAGCTTACAGTGAATTTATATATCTAAATTTAATAATAGATCTGACTGAAAATTTTTCTTTTCAAAAAATTGTTTCCTATTTATTATTTCAGGAAAGGCGACATATCGCCTTATGCAGCATTCGCCAGTTATTTGACTAATGCCACTAATTACCAGGATGAGGGAGTCATTTGAGGACAGAATTCCAAAACCTGGATTAAACGAACGAATTAGCCTTAATCGCTTATACGAGGCAATATACTTGTTGTCATTTAACATATTTCAGAAATTAAAACTTGGAAACGATTTTGTGTGTTGAAAATCTTCTGACAAATAGCGCAACGATAGAGAATTTCGAGATGATTCTCCAAGTGATGTTGTCGCATTTGATGACCATTCAAAAATGTTAACATCGGGCATTCTTTACATATCAAACGAATAACATTACCAGTGAAATGCTCAACAATATGATTAAAACGTGCCTTAAATGCAGAAAAAACCATTAGAAATTAAAACCATTAAAGATATTTTGGCCTTCCAATTTAAAAATTTCTATATAATTTAACGATATTTCAAGTATTCAAAAGTATAAAACGTATTGATTAAACGTATTGACGTATCTATTAATTTTTTTATTTTTATTTTGGCTTGAATTAAAAATGCTTGATTTTTGAAAATATTTTAGAATCCCACTTCACGCCGATTCCGCATTTTAGTCCTGAGTGGCCATTTTAGCCCCGAATAGCCTTTCTAAATCTACCCTAAATCCAGCGATGATTTTTGAATCACTGGTATTTACTAGATTTTTCAATTAACTTTAGAATAGCTTTTGTCCCAGGATTACCCATAAGATTAGAAAAAAATGTGACTTCCGATTTCATTAAAATTAACCTTAATGATTTTCTGGACTTTTAATAGATCTCAACGATAGCACAAGTTAACTAAATTAGAAAAAAATCTGTTTAAATGAACTGTTAGCAGAAAAATTATTGGGTGAATGTTCTCAAGCGATGAATTTAATTTAATTAATGAGATGATATTTGTTTTACCTGTGAATTTCCAAATGTCGAGCTGCATAAATGGCATTTAGCATCGCCGTCGTTTTTTAAATGTATTCTCATATGTTGGCCAAAATTAACGAAATTCGTAAATTTGGCATCACACTGTTGACAGACGAGCGACGATGCGATGTCACCATTCTAAAATGATAATATTGGCTTTCTGAATTTCGTTGGCTTCGAATGACTTTATGAGTATTTCCTAAAATCTAATGTCAGAGGTAACAAATGTATATTTTGATTTTGATATAAATTTGCTAAATTTGTCCGCATTTATATAGAACTTTCCCAATTTTACTCAATTATTGATTGCCAAATTAAATAATAAAAAAATCAAAGATTTATAAAGAATTTGATATTAAAAATCATTGCTTCTCATTTTCCCTATGTTTTTTTTTTAAAAACATTCTTTTAGTAAGGCATCTGAATGCATAATTAATAATTGGGCAATAAATTCAACAATAAAAATATGGTACGAGACGCTTTGGGAGAATTTTGCCCCTTAATTGCGTTTTTGCCCAATGCTATCATTTTTAGCAGAAGAAACAGAAAAAATTTCGATCGAAGTCCCAGTTATACTCGAATATGGCTATGAATATTACATGCATACAATTATGTCATCTAAGTTTCCCTTAAATATGGATTAATTACCACTTGCTAATAAATTTATTTCTTAATGACTGTGTGATTTATCTATACAGTTCGTTATTCGCTGAAAATAATTTATTATTAAAAAGGCAAAAGAAGATTTTTAATAATTTTTTATGCGTTCAATTTGAATGTGAAAAAGATTTCTACCATGTTTCGTGCATTAAGAATGGACCATTCCTAATACCACATAAATGGACTGAAAAATCTCGCCAACTATGGTTTGCAGCAAAAATGTTAAGTTGCCATATAAAACATGGCATGAATGATAATAATAATAATAAATAGTTGATAATTTGGTTTTTGACCACTTACCATCTGTTATATATTATAGTCATCTCGTTTCTAACGATCATTTTTTGTACAACAATTTGAGGTCAATTTGGGCGATTTGGGAATATAACTCGGTAAAGGTCATTTATAATATTTGTTAGAAACTTAAGAAAATTTTACCACATTCATCTGATTACTGCTGCGCATCAAAAAAACTTCTTAAAATTCTATCCACTAATTTAAAAACCAATTGATAGTAAAATACCTATTAATTAAAATATAAGAAACAACAAACAAAATGATAAATGCAGGATGTTTCATATTCATCATAATGAAACGAAATAAAGATGTGAAAATGAAAAATGAAGGCGTAAAATTAAAGCCTAAAAACCTTTATTAATTAATAAATAAAAGATGTTAACACTCGCCATGTCTGGCCAGCTCCACTGGTTGTGAAAGTAAGAGGAAAGGAAATTATTCGGCGATAGAAGTGTACAGGTTGATCGCCAACATCAGCCAGCTTTTTTAATGATAATCTTACTCTTATGACGACAGAAGCTAAATACTTTGACTTTCTCGAAAGATAATCTGAGTTCTTTCCCTTATCCCAATTAATACAAATAGCAAATAAATAATAATATTAATAAATAGTTAATAATTTATTAATTTAATAATTTAATAAAATAAATTATTAATTAATTAGCATAAATTATATAATAAATGAATTATATAATAAATATAAGCAAAAATAAAAATTAATAAAACGATATTAAACTAACAGCATTTGCTGATGAATTTTCGGCACCTTTTTGGAAAATTTTCATATTCTAAAATTGTGAAAAATTTCACTTTGGGCAAACAAAGTTAGAAATTCATAAATGGTAAATATTGGAATATTTTTTTTTGCCCACTATAGAATCAACCATAAAGATTTCATGTTTGAAACATATTTTATATTTTATATATTTTTATTTTTATGCGAAATTTTGCCCTTTCGAAATTAAATTTTTACTTTGTGTTTAAATTTTGTATTGAAACTAAATAATAGCTGAATTAAGGACGAATAAACTTATTTTTATTTTAAATACTTTAGCATATCATATCTATATTCGTAGTACCATTTTAGCTTTGATTGGTCCATATATTAAGAATGAGATTTCATTAGGGATCCCTTGGAGAAGTAATTCATAAAATAGTCATTAGGTCATTCCTAACACCATTCGAATTGTCTTAACAGTAGCTTTGCTTACGCTATAAATTATTCTTTCCAGCAAAAATACTTCTCATTTGATATTGTAGAATCTTTTTTTTTATATTAAATTGCTTAAATTGTGTGTTAACCATGAAAATTAATGACCACATAACGATGAGGGCAATAAGTAAATAAGTAACAACAATATACCATATGATCAGTTATGATATGGTTCTGCAAAGCCGTGACATCACTGAAAGGTTTGTTGCAGAAAATGCAGTGCATATTGCAAAAATCAGTCGCGGCATAACTGGTCGAGTTAATGATTGAGGTTGAAGTAGGGCGAGAACCAGATGATACCGATTCAAAATCGTTTGCATCGGCATTTCCATTAAGCTCCAATTTTCTAAAATTTTTTTAATATAAAAAGTCGAAAAGTCTAAACAATTAGTATAAGCATCCATACATCCGTTTGCCATTTTGTTCATCGATACTTCGGTCACAGTTTTCATCGCATTCTTCACTCGCTTCGCCATCTATAAAATATAGCTTTATAAAAATTTTCATTCTATGCTTTGGGGAAATGAAATAGCAAAATTCAAGCAATTAGAATGATAGCTGCCAATGAAAAACAATTAAGACAGATCAGAATGATTAAATAGTGTAGTTTCTGTGGATATTAAAAAGACAAATATCAAGGTACTTGAGTGAATGAAAATTTGTGCCAATACCAATATGCCAGGCAAAAAAACGTATAACGTCATAATCTACGGTATCTATTGAACAACAGCCGATAATGAATGCCAAAACGGGTGAGGCAAATAAAGGTTGCTTCGACTGATATTACCTGTTGCAGGGAAAGGTAAAAGCCAAACTTTCTTTTTATATTATCGCTGCCTGTCGCCTAAATTTTCATCATTTTTTCCGAAGGCTGGCTAAAGACAAGTGAATTTAAGGAAGAACCTTTGATTGCTTTAGGTTTCAACTGCTTCCTTCTCGTTGACATTGTTAATCATTAGTAATCCCTAAAATGTGTTTTTTAAAATATATCGATGAGCTGTCAGTACCACCCACATTTTACCTATAATAATAAGATCTACTGCCATTAAGAGACCGAAATTTAAGGGGCTTCAATTCATAGTCGAAGCGATAAACTAGTAATAGTGTAATTGAAAATTGAAATTGAAAAAAAATTTATTTACTTATTACGCTAAAGTAAGGCATTATGAATTTAAAAAAATAACGAATTTATTAAAAAAGTTTATTTTATAGGAAAATAAACATAATTTCTATAAAAAAACCTCATTTTATTGAAAATTCCAGTCATAATTCAGGAATGAAGCAATAATGGTGAAAAGTGAAAAGAGAAAAGCAAAATGTATAGTGTCTCGAAAGTTACCCCCTGGGATTCACCGCCTGGCTGCATTTTATAGGCGGAGTTACTGCAAAAAGGCCGCGGTTCATTCCTCATGGGAATTGCTTTCCCTTGATTAGTTTGCCACTGTTTTTCCTCGAATGGTACATTTCTGCTGCTTATTATGTATCATTTCTTTTATTCGATTTGTCTATCGCGACACTACTATATATACACACTAGCCTCGTTTATATTATTATCCTGGCCTCTCATCGTTTCACGATATGCAATATGTAGGATGCTGCTTCTAGCATTTCATTAGCGCAAAGCTGCTTAGGGAAATGATCAACGACGAAAATGAAGGACGACGAAAATAAAATTTCTGACAATATAAGTGGACTTTAATATTGAAATAGTCGCATAAATGTGAATTTTTTTCCTCAAGTTTTGTTCTCAAAAATTTTTTATTTCGACAAAATGAATTTTTTGCAAAAAGCAATTTTAAATGAACCCAACGATTCTAAAGAAATAGGGATAATCTCTTGCAAATAAAATTTTCATTAAATTTTTTATTTCTCGGCAATTCAACCCAAATTTTTCCGATAGGATTTGTTCTTAAACTCAATCCTTAGACTCAAAAAAGTTCTCTTCATAATACCTTTGATATCGAAGGAAGCTAATTGTCCTCTTCGATTTTTTTTAAATAATTAAAATATCTCGTGAGCTCATTCATATTAATCAAGACAGATGATACTTCATCGAAAGCCAGCAAAGTTAAATTAAGCGATTATTATTTCTGGTTAGCCTTGCTGCTGATTGTAGATGCGAGTATAAGAGGAGCATTTGGTAATAGAAATATAGGTGGATTGCCAGCATCATTCAGTATTAGCGTTTTTTAATAGTAGATTTATTTGCCGGTGGTGACAGCCGAACCACTAACGTTTCACACGTTAACCTGCGCTACGAAATATCGAGGATGAAAGCAAAGGTGTTTCGGGGACACGGGGACAATTCTAAAGAAATTCTCCATTAATGCGTTGGAATACTCCTTCTATTTTCTTTTCTTTTTTATATATTTTGGAAATATAAATGTAAAAAATTATTCGAGATTTTTCTCTATTGACCTTTTAGAATAATAAAAATTAATTGACGTTCTTTATGGGGTTCATTATATGCTGTCTGCTTGGACTTTTTCCTATTTAAAAACAGATAAAATTATGAGAGAGGGGGGTGATGGTTAAATATGTAAGCGAATTTAGGTTAGCCAATGTTTTGCTCATTGAGACAAGGATATTTGTCTTCATTCCACTAAGCCTCATAGCACAGAGTTTTGCAATAAAATTTCACATTATGAAATTCATAGACTTTATCTTTCAATGGGAATAAACCTGTCATAAAAATTGAAATCTGTTTAGGTCTGGTTGCTGTTTAAGATAGAGATGGGTTCCATGCATTATTTAAACATTTTTAATGATAAGTTCCTCCTGTCTCACTTTTTTCTGCACTTTTATTCTCAGATGTGTTTCTATACTTCAAATATATTTGATGAAGATGTTAATCAGTCAAGCCAGTCAAATTAGAGGTACGGTATAGCTATTAGACGAAGAACGATGATAATTATAAATGAAAATGGAAGGGATTTTCCTAAAATTGTCAATGAAAATTGTCCGATTTTTATCCGACTTGGAAACACTGAAGTAATTAATTAGCCAATAGTATTGATCATTTTAAATACAGATCCATTACCTTAAATTATTATTATCTAAATTGCCATATCACTAAAAAACATTAAAAAACTGACGCCGTAATTCTTGGGAATATTAACGATATCATTATTGCTATTCTAAAATAGGTGAATACAATTTGCTAGCACCGTTAGGAATTTTTGCCAGGAAGCCTCATTTGGCTGTGGAGATGGGTCTCCTGCACTAAATTACTCTTGTCGGATATATCCAAATGGTGACATTCGAGACGATAATCCAAGTAACAATCAACTCGGTTTTCTTTTTTACTTGTTGTTTTTTATTGTTTTTTGCTTTCTTTCGAAATTGTGGCATTTATTCATTATTTATGTTATCAATAAAAAGTAGATGCATGAAAATTCTATTTAAATTATCGAATTAAATTTTTATTGACTTTTTTTGCCGTTGAATTCTTTCCTTTTTTTCAAAGCATAATTTTTAAAAATTTTTTTTGAATTTTTGGATATTTTTGAAAAGTCAGTTTTTTGGTGGATTACCATGAATTTGTTTTGCTGCGATGCTGCGATCATTCAAAAAATATGAGAAATAATTAATTAAATATTAATATCGAAAAATATCGAAAAAGGAGAAGAAATCTGATTGATTCTTATTTCATTTCAATTCTATTTATTTATTTCAACTTTTTTTACATAAATCAACCAGAATAAAAAACCGCATTCATCTTATATTGAAGCATAGAATCACTGAAACTTTGAATATTTCTACAAATTCAAACGAGATCGAAATCCTTAGATAAACTTCCAATTAAGGCCAAACCATGATACATCTTTCATTATACTGGAAGATAGGGTAACCGAAACTGCCTTGGAAATAAAAATTCTGAATTGCATCAAAAAGAACTGTACTAGCAAATCTGCAAGTCTCTAGCATAAATTTCTTTCTTTCTATACTGATAAATTAGCTCACTGAGCTAATGTAATTGAAAATGGTGAATGTTAATCACTTACATTATATTAATTAGGAGGTGAAATTAACACCTGATTATTGAAATTAACACGTGATTACCTGATTATTGAAGTTTATGGTATTGCGATATGCGGTTCGATTTATCTTCAGATCTCACTTCAGTGCATCGCACCAAGGTCAAGCCAAAGTTCAAACTAAATTATAATACTTTGGGGTATTATTATATTTATTATTTTATGTGATTGAAGTAATGGTGTCAGATTGACTTTAATATTTTTTTCTTGTTACTTAGTGGCATAGTTTTAAATGTGAATGGTTTTTTCTTTTGTCATTCCAATTTCAAATTAAAAGAAGCGTTCAAGTCTGCTTTTAAATTCCACTTTTTTCTGTTAAAAATTCTATTGAGAAGGAATCGATTTTTTGAGAAATTTTTGGGTACGTTTCAACCAATTTCAAAGATGCTCCACACTTACCTGCACATCTATCCTCAAGGGATAAAAAATATGGCAAAAGAAGAGCCGGGCAAACTAAAAATGAGAAGTAAAATGATTAGAAGAAGATGATGAAAACTAGTTCTAAGCTAATGGATCGAAAAATAAAATCAGCTGATGCTTCTCCGTATTCACTGATTTGTTATCCGATGACTAAGCAGCTTTCATAAAATCTCAGAAAAAGAAATGGTGATAATATCGATGTTGGTTTTAGTTATAGCTAATCAAACAGATATGTGAAGTACAATGCTAAATTTTATCACCAAATCTTATCTTATCAGTAGAAAGAAAATCATCTCACAAGAATTATTTGCTCTCTGATTTGTCTTGATTAATGATTTCATGATGTTTCATATATTAGCAAAGTTTGTTTGTTCAGAAATAATTCAGCAGTAAAGATCTCAATTAAGCAATCGGTGAGAAATGATGTGGTGAGGAAAATTTTGGATTATTTTAAATCAGATTAATATTTAGATTTATTTAATTTTTAAATCAGCTCCAAAGTTTTAAATTATTATTTATTATTTGATTTATTAATATGATTTATTATTATTTAAATAGTTAAATAATTAGCATTGAGTAAAGGAAAAATTATCAGAAAATAAGTGGAAATTAATGAATGAAATAAGTGGAGACATCTTTTCTCAGTTCTTCGGGAGCCAAAGATTGGAATCAGGCACAACAACTTGACCGAATGAATGTAACGCGATATGCTGACATGCATAGGATTTCCTGCAAATTTTATTTAGCCATTAGGAAATCGCAAAATTTTCTCACCTCAATTATTATTTTCACTATATAACCTTAGGAGAAATTTGCAAAATTTTCAGTTTTACGGAATCCTTTTCTGAGGGATTGTCGATTTGTTCAACATAGGTTTTTCTAGGACAATTCTTTGCATAATACATATTTGTCTACCGCTCTATTTCTTTATCGATGTCCATGTATCCAAAAACACCCTCGCCAGCCGCGTTATTGATCCTCGTATGAAGGAAAGCATATGAAGCAATGTATGGCGATGCACTTTCCGTCACATAACCTGGTTTTCAATAATAATTTTTGATTAATTACAATGTATTTTGAATTTTGAAAGGTAACCATTAAAAATGATTATAAGATTAGTATAGTTATGGCACATAAAAAAACTGCATTTTTACATTACATCATCCTATCTTCAATCACCAAACAATTACTTAATCGTTCACTCCTGTGTGAATAGCCGAATGGCTATTGCTTAGATTATTGTCTAGAGCCTCAGGATGTAAACAAACTTCGATAAAAGCAAATCTGTTATCAAAAATACGTATAGTTCTAGATGCTTGCATTTCTATTACCAAATGATTCCGCAATAAAAATCTCTTACTTAAAAAATAACTTATCAAATTAGATTCGAAATCTTGATACCGTCTTTTTTGCCAAACCACCGAAAGAAATCAGGTGAAGTAGCATCGACATTTGACCATGTCGCCGATTCGTTGCTCCAACTAAGCCCTATATAAACTGAATTGATGCCGTTTTTTTGAGCTAATCCTTAAATTTATAAATTTCTTTTAACGAATATATATTCTTGATTAAGATGATATCTCTTGGAGATGTATGGTATATAAGAATCGAATAGCTAACCACACGGTTTATTTCAAATTATGTGAACATTGTTAGAATGATTGCTAGAATGATTAATATCTGTCTCTATTCTATTAAATCAGATCCACTGCAATTAGCTGTAGCAAAATCTTAGGATAAAATTCAGAGCTACTAACTTCCAATAAATTGCGCAGTATCATCATCGTGTACTACTGCCAGTGATTCACTCCGTTTCGAACAATCTTTTGCGGCATTTTTCCACGTTTCTTTATTATTATATACTTTATAGCAATGCAGCCCGGACAACTCATATCCACTTTTGCAAGAAAACTCATCGGCTAAATGCGAAAATCTCAACGAAGAAAATTCTATCAACAAAAGAATTAAAGAATTTTATCCTTCTTTATGATAAACTTATCCTTATTTCTTATAATCTTTTTGTTACATTTTATTTTTTGTCATCCAGCAAAACAGTGCGAATATTGAAATTATTATCGCGAAGCAAATCAAAAACCCAAAAATACTGACCATATTGACATATATAGGCATATTTTTCGTTTGGTTCTATGTCTTCACTATGATAATTTCTTGCAAAAACAGGTTGTCTCTTCTAAAAGAAAGAATTATCTAACTTTTAAGAAATTTTATTTAAGTTTACTGCCTTATAAATTTCTTATTTCATCCATTCATTCATGTTCAATTCATTAGGGCTATAAATGTGGAATATATTGTGGACAGAATGACTGTAGCCAAGATTGTTAAGAGGCAAGAGCTCGGTTCCTGACTTCGATAAGAATAAGTTTGCCATTAAAAAAATCCGGTTACCCATTTCAACTTTTTATCTTTTATATTAAGTAATTTCTAGTGAAATTTTCTAACCGTACTAAACCAGGGTGGTCAGCCTAATCAAAAATGGTTGCCGAATATTGCTCGTATTGAACCACAAGATTCCATTCACAGCTCATTAACTTCACTTCAAAATTAAATAAACTGTATCTCAAGGAAAAGAGCATGAAAAATTACATTAATAACACCAATAGATTTCAGATGATCGCTAGTTTGGACATCAATTTCAGCAAGATTAGCACGATATCCATCCAAGTGATTGCAAATGCTCCGATCATTTTTAGCTTCAGCGCTAGTCTTTTTGTTTTTAAGTTCAACGATATAGCATTTACCGTTGTAATATTCCGTTAATGATGGATATGCCAGGCACTTCTCCTCAAGCATTGAAGCTAAAAAAAATTCTTAATAAGAAAGCGCCAAACTTCATCTAATCACATGGTTTCAGACGATTCAAATGTTCTATTGGCAAATCTGATAATTGCCCTATAAAAGAATTGTTTCATACATTTAATATTATCATTTTGTCATCGCAGGTTCATTTCTCATTCGTATAGAGGAATAAACCTGTTCTTGAAAAATGAAATTTGAAAGCTGCTAAGGATCCAGTTGCATTTTCAAAATGCTTTCTGGCGAAATCGCTTCATTTTAGCAAGCAAGTGAACCAAGAAAAATGCGTGCAGTTAGAACAATTTATACAAAAAGTATTATTAAAATGTTGTATATATTGAATATATTGAATATAAAAAGTAAGAATATTGTAATTGACGAAAATGTTTACCTGGTGTGCCACAGTTTAAATCTGCATCTTGGATTTGATGCAACAGGAGTAGCAAAATAATCATAGGACGCTATAAGACATTTAGTGGATGAGAAAAAGTGGAGAAAAAGCTAATGGATCCAAACAGGCTTATGAGATTTTGACATAAGAGACATGATCGTTAGTAAGAAAAAATTTTGCTTGGCCTGTCATTGACCATTTAATTTTTCACTTTCAGGAAATCGTGCGACTTTTTTTGGTTTGCTACTGATTTTATATTTACTTTTTTTAATTCACTTTTTTACAAATTAATATACTTGCAATTTTAATAAGCTGCAACTGGATATACTAATTCAACCAACTTTTGAAGGCAAACATTTGATTGGGACCATTCCAGAAACCGGTCTAGTTTTATATATATAGAGCACTAATTTTTTAGAACTAACAGGTGAAATTACTTCAGTTATTTCAAAACAGATAATTTAGGGAAATTAGCGATTGTGAAGAAAAACTTTGTTTGAAGAGAAATGAAATCCTTCTGATTGGAATGCCCACAAAATATAATAAAATGATCATATAATTTTATTGCTTAAATATTTTTTCAATTATGCTAATAAAAGAAAATCGGAAAATTTTTCGAGGAATGAATTTCATCGGTAAGTAAGAATGGATTTGGTAGTGTAATAACTCGTTATCTTACTTGATCAATTTATGGATGATGGAAGTCAGTTTATTTGTAATCTAGTAGCTCATCAATTATATCCTGTAAATATTCCATACTTCTAATTTTTCAAGCCGATAAATAAAGCAAATGCATTCTGATAATTACCAGTAATCAACCAACAGCCATCTGAGCAAACCTAACCAGAAACAGTGAGCGCTATCCTTCTACTCATTTAAATCGCCAAAACAATCTTCGACAATGATGCATTTTGAAGCAAATCTAACGAGGGAATCGTTTTATTTATTATTTCACGAAACCATTTATTTTTATTGCCTTTTTTGTTATTATTTCATATATTTTTTTATCGTACAACTTTTTATCGTTATTATTTATCATATCATACTACAGCAAGTTAGATGAGAAATTTAAATCATGTAACCAAATACAGCCTTTTCATAAAATATTAATATTTTAAATTTTATAATTTTAAAGAATGTAATAATTTTAAAGAACTTCGACAATTACCATTATAAAATGTTCATCCATTGTCTTTCACCTAATATCACCTTCGAATACCTTTAAAACGTCTCTTAAGTTGCAACACATTAGCTACAGCCATAAAATCGTCGGCTTTATTCAAATCGTTGATAATTGAATCGCTTGGAGGAAGAAAACCGGGAGGGTTACTAGCAATGTTGTGTTTTTTCTTTGATGGCACTTTTTTCCCTGCAATAAGCGCAACAGGTGAAGGGGAGTTATAAACAATGAATAATGAACAATGAACAAACAGTGATCTTTAATATGGTCTTTTTTTGAATTCAATAATCGTTTTTCCTAAGTTATTAAATGCGCTTCAATTGAAGGGTATCGAAGACTTACGTAATATTTCTGAATCGGCATCATCAAAAAGGGTATTTTCCTGGAGTTCTTGTTGGAGAGAATTTGGAGCCTGGTTGTTCAATGCCTCCACTGTAAGTGAAGAGCTTATTTCTTTTTTCGCTTCTTTTGTTGCTAATATTGCATCTGACGATAACTGAACATGATGAGCATCTATGAAGACAGTAGTATCGTGAGGAATATTGGATGGTTTATTGTCGAAAGAACTTAACGTTATTTCAGCTGACGAATTCAAGAAAGATGGCGAATTTGTTTGATCAATTTGCGATGGAATTTCATCATTTCTAGTGAGTGGCAAATTCTGAATGACATCTTGTTTATCAGACTTATCAGTGTTCACGACAGGCGGTCTTGCGATAGAAATTCCATTAGACAATTTTTGCGAAAGTCTCCTTTCCATTTGTAATTGTAAATGCTGAATATTGGTACCACTAACAGTAGGAGATGTAGATGAAGTGCTTGCAATTATGCTCGATTCTGCTCGAATAGGCTCAATATTTGGCAATTTTCCTGAAAAAACTCCGCGGTCCAAACTAAAAGGAAGTTTGTCCAGTAGGTGACCAGTACTACCATTAAGTTGCGATGATAGAAATGGTCGAACTCTCTTTGATTTTTTTCCCCTTAATAGCTTTCGAGATATGATTCGTGTGCGAACTCGAGGACGAATCGAACGTTGTAATTCTGATCCAGCACTTCTAAAGATAACTGTAGTTAATTGCAGACTTGAAATTCCCTTAATTTTAACTTTTCAAGCCAACTTTATCAAATCTTTATTACAGCCTTTTCTTAAATATAGTAGCGAAACCTGAGAGCAGTTGATTTTAGGAGTAATCTTGATTGAACATTGAAAGAAGGTCGCCGTCGACTGATAAATCGACGTCGCGATATCCTGTAAATGCAACATAAGGTGGTCTAGGAAAGCTGCAATCGCAGATCAAGGACAGTGGTTAATAGCTCAAACTGTAGCACTAAGAATCAGTGGTTCTCCTCTTATCTCCGACAGGAATGAACCAGTCATCAAAAAATCTGGATTATGCCGGCGACCCAGCCTAGCAAAAATTTTTGATAGTAAACGGATTAAACCTAACCAGAAATGATGATTATACCACCTTACCTTGGTGAAAGATTTGCGGGATTAATCATTGCTTCTGCTAATGTAAATAGCTTTGTTGCATTAGGCTAAAACAGTTTACAAAATAAGAGAAATTTGATTGAAACATTAGATATGCCTTCTGGTTATAATCGAAGGTGAGAAACCATTGAAAATGAGAAAAACGATAAAAAAAAAAAGGGAAATATGTCAAAAACTTCTGTGAAATTCAAGCTGAAAACTTACAAAATTTCCTTGTCCTTTAATAAATCTTCGTTGATTAAATTGTATGCTGCAATTCGCTCTCATAATATTTTTTAATATTTAATCTAATCTAATTCTGGAAAAAATTTAGAAAAATTGTAAAAACATTAAAAAATTAAAAAAATTGTCGGAAATCCTTGTAAAATATTTTAATAAAAAATTGTATGACAGTTTATAAACATAATAAAACTGTTATTTAATTGTCTTAATTGCTTAACTATGATGCTAATTCATAAAGGAAATTCTTATTGGAAAAGAAAACCTGATTGGCAGTGTTGGTCCTACAGCAACTTTCGGGGACTTGGATGCTTCAGGACCTGGTGCTACCAATTGCCTCGAAAGACCGACAATGGAAGATTCCCTCGCAAGCTATATTTATTTAATAATATTCTCATTAAATTTTTATTAAATATAATACGCTCAATTTGATCTTTTCAAGAATTGATGACCTTATTCAAGAAAAAAAATTAAATAAGAATATAGATATTTTCTTTCTGTTGCAGGTTAAAATGCATATTTTCTTCAAATATGAAGTTTCGCGAACAGTTATCGTAAAATCATAAGTATTAGATTAGGTTTGTTAGATTTATTTTAATTACGAAAAGTACTGCTGTCGAAAAGTACCTATTTTTTCATGAAGTTTATCCTTGGAGCATTGAAAACTGTGGTTTGCTAGCAAAAAGTCAATCATTTTTTGAAGTTTTTTAAAATTTACCTGTCGAGCCTGTTGGCATTCACCGAATTCCACCAGCGAAACCAGGAAGTAAAAATATAAAGGAGTCATAACAAAATAATCCCGAGACACTTCCAGAAAAAAATATTTTAAGAATAATCGAATAAAATAAAAAACGATCCAATTTAAGATAAAAAAGAATATTATTTGTTGAAGAATAGTTACATCCACAACGAAAACAAATTTAAATTATAAAATCTAAGGTACTTTTGCTTATGACTATCTATCATCATCAATTTATAAACGAGTTATTAAGCGATGATTTAAAAACATTCTTATGAAATCTGGAATTTCCATTCGGTCGTCGCGCTTTGGTTCACATTCTATGCGATCATCCAAATGAACCATTTTTATTTAACTTTTCCAATAAGCTGAAAGAGATCACAAAAACTGTGGCCGAAGGAATTAGTTTCCTGACAGTAGATACTAAATATTTTAAAAGTGAGAACCACAAATCAAGATTTAATTTTACGAAAAAGAATCTTCAGCCATGTTACATTTTACCTACGGAATGAGTGGATAATGACAATTATATGCAAATACTCAAATCAAATTTTTAGAAAGTTTTATTAAGTTAGATTAAATTTTTGCATTGGAAATTAATGGAAAAAGTGGGCAAACCTGTCATTAAAAGCAAAATTTGAGTCGTTACTCTCTTAGCAAAGAGATTTAATAATCAGTAGAACGAATCAAACAAGAAATACTGGATATTGTTAGGAGAACAAGAAAAACAGTGATAATGACTTGATGGGGAAAGGGGATGTGGGGAGGAGGGTGAGGATGACTGAAAGTATAACTAAGCACCAGCGTATTGCTAATCACAAAAAAAGCGATTCCATGAGTCAATGCGATTGTTATGATCATTATAGATAGGTCAACGAGTTTCTTTAATTGCAACGTCTATGAAGAAACTGGGAATTTTTGAACTTAAACTGGTTTTACAATATTTTTTATGATAACATTCACAATAATGGCAACGATGATTTTGTGACTTTGTTAATGGGTAATAAATTATAGAATAAAAATTGCATGGCACTTATGAAAGATTTATGCATGGAGTAATCATAAATGAGAGAAAGATGAAGAAGCTATCGAGCAACAAAATAAAAATACTTTGTAAAACAGCACATTTAAATTTAAATTTAAATTTACTGAAGGAAATCCGCTGAGATTTAATATTGGGCCTTAAAATTTCCATTCGATTCTTTTAAGTCGTCCACATTATCGACATACCTGTATACTTATAACCATTTCCTGGCAAAATAATCCTTCTAATAACCAATGGAGTCAGCCAAAACATAAATAGTAAATTAACCTACTTTTGCCGCTCATCTCAGCAACTTCACAATTTCATACCGCAGTTCATCAATCGCATTTTCAAATTAATTTGTCAAATATTTGGTGACATCCACAAGAAATATTCAACGTTTTATTTTAAGAATGAACTGGTATCAGTTTATAAAAATAATCAGATAATTAAAATATAATACTAAAAAATTTCCACTAAATTAGATTTCATCTATATTACTTATCGTTATTACTGAACTACATATTTTTATAAAGCCAAAATCTTTCTGCCGATTAGCTCAAAGTTGGACAACTTATTAAAATGAAATTCAAAAGGATTCATAATTCATAGGTGGTCGGATAACCGAACCGCATATTTCCTCGATTAGGATCGAAAGGAGATCGACTCCCTAAAATTGTCATTAAAATTGAAATTCAAATAGGTCTACGGGCACCACTATACATACTTCCATGAATTTTATGTAAAAGAATCTTAACAGCAAAGCTAGCCAAAGTAGAAAAAAGATGAATGCTGTTAGTAGGAAGCAGGAGTAATGGTACATTCTACAAGTTATTAACACTCAGATGCCCAACTCGCAATCAGTATATGAACAATTTTTACCAGTCAACACATAAGAAATTTTATTTTTCAAATTTTGAGAATTGTAGGAAGAAAATAATATAATTAAATCTGCAAATAAACAGAATAAAGCCAGTAGCAAATAGGCCATATAAGATGTATTTTAAAAGGCTATGAATGAGAAAAAAATGAAAGAAAATGAAAAATCTTCCTGATGGAAAGAAGATAGAAAATTAAAGTTGAGGAAATATTGGAAATATTTTTGACAAATTTTTCGCGACCGCCAAAGAAGTTTAAGTTTTAATAAAATTTGAAAGTAAATTTTTAGTTCAACAAATAATAAATAATAGAAAACAAATTAATAATCAATGATTTTATAAAAAATTTCATGATTTTCGCACGATAATTATTTTCATATTTAGAAAATTAGAAATTTTATTGTAGAAATTTCCTTGATCACCTATATTGCGATTTTCAATTCGCATTTCTATTTCCATTCCATTTTTTTTTTCCTCTGATAAATTCAATTGATGATACAAAGAATATGGAAATATGGAAAGTATATTTTTTAATTTCCTATTTAAACAGATCGACCATAATTTTCAAATTTTTAAAGGCAGGTGTTCTTCGTTTTTTCGGCAGTGATTCCAATTAAATCTACGAATCTACGAATTTCTTCATCGAACAATGAAACATTTCATGATAATTATCATGAACATTTCATGATTTCATGATAATCAAAATAAAATAAGACTGAAATTGAGCGAGGATAACCGGGTTGGTCCAGATAATCATGCTGAGAGAAAAAAGTTTGGCTCCCAGCAATGGCAAGAGTAAACCTGCCATTAAAAAATGATACCATGTTAATGACCCACCCATACTGATTTATTAAATGATCCCACTGCAAAAATTTCTGCACCGGACCAGTGGATCCAGCTTAACCAGAACCACTGACAACGGAAGACGTAAAAATATCTAAAATTGAAATAATAGCTAGCCCTGTGGTTCTTACCTAGGTTCATATTTGAAATAAATATTAAATCTCAGTAAGAAAAATGAAAATATAAATTTTTTCCAGTCCAGGTGTTATGGGCTCTCTGAAATGAACTCACGGAAATCCGTGGATCCCTGATTTAAAGAACTCTTAACTCTAAAAATATGTTCATTTTATTTTGAATTTCATTACTTTGAATTGGAATTCAAAATGGCTTTTAATTATTAATAAATTCGAATAAGTCATGGAAGCATTAAGAGTATTTAATAATTAGTTACTGTTAAATAAACAATAAATAGCAAAGAAATCCGCGAGAATTATTGTTGTAAAAATAAAACCATAAAAAGGAGCGCTATCTATAAATTCTATAAGTATGAGTGGAATGCATTAATTTTCTTGTTAGAAATTTTATTTTCCAAGAATTCACCTTTTTGCATTTAAAAACAAATGAATCAAATGCCAAATACCAAAATTTGCAAAAACATAAAATTACATAAATAGAAACATAAATAGAATTTCACCAGAGAACTACACAAATTCTTTGAACTGAGATCTATTGTAGCACCTGGAATATACTTAATGCACCTCCCAGCAGATATAAATTGAACGCGAAATGCTTGCTCTCGGTTAACGCGAACATCCCACTGGATATGAGAACAAATAGATAAAGTGACAAACAAATAGGCAAAGGAAATACGCTAATATTGATGAAAAAAGTCAAACATAAGTAAGAAGTTAGTATTTGCCATTTCTAATAAGGCTCGCTTACTTTCTACTAGTAAAATGAAGCTATTTTGGGAGAGAATCACTTGGATAAAAGTATAGGTTCCTCGGTTCCTAGATGAGAGCTTTATTCCTGCCAAAGATCAAGCAAAATGGAAGAATGGTTATGGTTATTACCAATCAGCAATTAACTCATTTCATGAAATTGAAACCCAACAAAATGGGAAAATTAGTTGTAAAACCTGTCAAAACTATTGAAAAAAGCTATGGTTACGATTAAAGGGTGTGCAATGCACAAAAAAATGGAATTATTAATTTATATTTTCCAAAACTTATTTCTTGAAAAATCTAAAGTTGCTCAGTCGACAACTCTTTCAGAATTACATTATTCAAAATTAATGTAACTAGAAATCCACTTGATTTAGACGTTTATACCAGCGATCATTTGGCAAATTCTTATAAGTTTTTACCATTGAAAGTAATATGCTTAATCCTTTTGTGCTTCTTGTAATTCGTCTTTGAAATTTTTTCTGAATCAGGAGCCGAGTGGATAGTGACTTAACTTACCATATTGAAAGACAAATATGTAAAGCTTGAGCTCTCACAAAAGGAAGTGGCAATCGTAGCGATTCGTGGGCAATGCGCTTAATCGTAATTCATCGCATTTTTTTGCTAATATATTGAACATTTTTTAATGCACTATCTATTTTAGTTATAAAGAAAAAAGTTATTAAGAAATGGTTCATAAAGTGTTTCAACTCTGTGAGCCCATCATGGCATTTTGTCAACCCGTTCCAAAATTATTTCCACAAAAATTTCAGGGCTCAGAAAAAAACTTTCATTTTTTTCTACGGTGATAAATAAGTAAATGGTTAAGCATTATATTAAATTAAATTGAAATTAATTATATGAATTTTATGGATGATTATTTTATAATGAAGAAATTAGTTTCTTTATAGATTTCTCAATTTTAATGCGGCAATTATCATTAGGAATAAAGAAAAATTGCTTAAACGGTTGATCTCAGCGGGATTTTTAAGAGCAAAAAATCTGAGGGTCACAACCATAAAGCAATGCTTTCCAAAACTAACTCAGTAACTGCTTCAGAATTTGATTATTCTTTATTTATATGGTTTTCAACCATAAAAGGAAGAAAACTTAAAAAATATGCATTATTTTTTAAATAAAGAGATTTACTGCTATGTGGAGCGCGAACCGAATATTTCCCCTTCAACATAATATTCCGAATTATCCACTCTACTACCTTGTTTCTGGAAAAATCCGAGTAACACTGGTGACTCATTTATAATTGTGTCACCAAGTTCCTTCCTTAGAAATTTCTTTTTATTCTATTCCTTAGAAATAACCAGTGGAGCGAGCCTAACCAGAAATTTATGAGCGCTAAGCATTTATTTCTATACTGCAAATATTTTTTAAAATTTTTTTGTTTCATTCTTATTTTACTTTATTTTTTTATTATTATGAAAAATTTTGCGCAAAACTAGCTTGAAACTAGCTTGAAAAATCATAAAAATATAATAAAAATAAGAAATTTAGCAAAAAAAGGTAAGTTAAAAAAAAATTATAAAACTATTAAAACTTATAAAACTATAAAATTATAAAACTTTAAACAAATTATACGAAAAAATATTCAGATTCATTTAAAAGATATGAATGATTTTTCGCAGTTCAGTGAGAATGTCAACGAGAAATACTTATTGATTATGCTTAATTAATTAATATTGATAATTAAAATATAATATTAATATACTTAAATATATATAGAACATTAATATATTTTAATACAATTAAAATAAACGATGTATTTATTAATATTAATTGTGAGAAAGATAGCTGTGAACAGTGGACCAGTTTATAGTGTTTGCGCAAAGGGACTTTGCTGCTACTTCCGAGAGGAGTAACGTCCTGATCCTCTGGTATTAACCTAATTCCTCTAATTCCTCTTTGGCAAAAATTTTTTCGGCAACAATGCTTAAGTCAGTGAAGCTATTCAAATCACGATTGGTGGGATAAGCATTATGTAATAATAAAAGCATTGAATTGAATGGTTTAAATCGATTTTACTGAGTCAATAGTAGAAAAATAATTACAAGAAAAGAAAAAGAAAAATAATTATAATTATAATAATTAAGTATTTAAATAAAATTAATGAAAATTTGACTTAAAAATATTGTAAATTCGAAATTTCGATCGAAAAAAAATTTGCATGAAATTTATCACCAAAAAGCGATTTGCGCATCTGATATATGGAAGTCCTGAGAAATAAATAAGTTTGTATTAGTTGCGCATAGGACGCTGTTTCTTCAGTCGCTAAAATTATTGTTTCCTTAGCTAAGCGAAAAATTATCAGTGCTGCTAGACTTTTAATTGCTTTTTAGTATTTCTCTAATTTTTAAATAACTTGTTTAAGTAAATGTGTAAGAATGAAACGAAAATAATGATGAATGTCGTTTTCAATCGACATTTCTTAGGTCAAAAGTTCAAATTTTTCTGCTGAAAAAGTGCGCTAAATTAGTTGTTGTTATGCTCCGATATTTGATGGTTTTAATTTTTCGGGTAACTTATAAATAAAACTTTTAAGGTCACCAATCGCCACTCCCGATTGGCCTTTAAACAATTACGTTCACAGTAAATGACTAGCGTTTTCCTTGCGTCCCTCTTATGTATTACATATTTTCCAGTTGGTTAGTTCAGTTTCTTCGAATGTCAACTTTGTTGGTATATAAGGAAGAACTTGGCCCTAAAATTACATTTATGAAATAATTAAGCAAAGTAAAAAAATCACTAATTTTTTTAATTTTTAAGTTATTATAGTTATTTATTATTATTATTGTTATTATTATTGTTATTATTATTTATTATTATTATTGTTATTATTATTTATTATTATTATTTATTATTATTATTGTTATTATTATTATTGTTATTATTATTATTGTTATTATTATTATTATTATTATTATTATTATTATTATTATTATTATTATTATTATTATTATCGTAGTTCTTAATCGCTGTTAGGTGACCAATAAAATAAAAAATAATTTTGTGAATTTTTCTAAATTGTAAATTTCTAAAAATTCAAACAAATTTGTCAAAAGGAAATTGATTGCATTTGTAAATGTTTAGTCTGTGAAACAAATTGTAATTTTGGAAGCCAAGCTAATGTAATTCGATGCGCTGAGCCTTTAGTTCGACTTGTTGAAGTTAATGTTAATGCGATTCGACCTTCATTTGTCGATATAAACACGTCTTGTGAATCATTCCACAAATACCTTCAATGTGCTTCAAATGTCACGGATTCATGCAGGTTTTTTTTGCAAATAAAATAACGAGCTCATAGGCTATCTTTTTTGGATTCTCTTTGGCCTTGAAATTATTTATGATTGGACGGAATTGATATTTATTGACATATCTGATTGCCTTGATTTATTTGTCGTGATGCATAATTTATTTTAGGAAAACAATAATGGGTCAGATTGACTCAATGTATGAATTGATTTGTGACGTGTACAAAGCCAATATCAGCTCAGAAATGAGTTGTTATAAGAAATTAGAATCGCAGCAGTCAATAATCGATTGCGTGTCCGGTTGGGCAACCCAAAATGTAATTTTTTTATAGTATATTTTTACGTTTTCAATATTTTCTTTTCGGTAATTGCCATATTATAATTGGCAGGTTGGATATATTCCTTAGGCATTTCACCATTGATAAATACGCTTACGTAAAATAATCTTTTTTCTATTATTAGGATATCTGCATATAAGCGAATATATTAATCCACCTAATACCAGAATAATATCTTACAGTAAATTAAAATTCTTAAAGCTTCAATTACAGGTAATGAGTAATTTAACGCAGGTACATTGTTCATTACTAGAAGGATATTTGGACTGTATTATTACCGACGATTTTATCGAAGAATGTACAAATGCTGTTAAGGTATTACGCAATTCATAAAAATAAGTAATGACTTCATAGTTCAGTACAATGTACTTTACGTATATATATATGTATATATATATATATATTTCTCATATTCCTTCTTTCAGACGTTTCTGTCGCTTGGTATTGCTGTGTTAATCACCATTGCTATTTCTGATTTTTGTCTATTGCCTCAATATCTGGTTGATTAGTCAGAACTTGTCTGTCTGGATAGGGAAGTCCCACAGGATCTGGGCCTTATTAGCATGGTCTCTGAGCAATCTCTCATCTGGCCTTGGAAAGGACTAGGTCGTAATGGTTACACTATTTCTGCATTTTATTTTCATCATCGTTTAAACGAGGAATTTGTCTAACTTGATTCAACTCGACAATTCAGCAATATGTCTATTGTATCTATTCATCTTTCACATGAATGAACGAATATATATATATATATATATATATAATAGTATAATAATATATATGTAATATATATAAATATGTATGCTTTATCGGTCATCAGATAGCTGGCATTTTAAGATAGATAAAGGAGGACATGGAGGCTGCTAATGTACATATAAAGACAAGCGAATTCCTCACAATGCGCGGAAATTTCCATCTCAAGTCCAACACCCAAAGGCTACACCAGCCGGAAAGAAGGTGAATGGGGCTTGGTGAATGTGAAAACTAATATCTTGTACGAAACTTGAAAAATATCAGCAAGATGACACAAAAGGATGAACTGTAAGGAGAAACATAGGAAAGCAATCAAATAGAGAAAATACCAAAGCTAGACCCTTCATGAATTGCACCACCGACAGATAGGTAAGATAGCACTGTGAATTCCTACCAATGATTGGAGAAAGCCCGAGTGAAAGGCAACTGAGGCATTGATTACAGGAACAAGCATCAGATCCATCGAAACAAGGATCGATCACATTAGACAGGACTCTAAATACAAAATGCTGTAAAAATGCTCCAGAGATAGCCAGCACATAATGGTAGAATGTGAAATGCAAGCAGGAGCAACATATACTGAAATGCATAACCAAGTAGCTGGTATAATCTACAGGAACATCTGCTTAGTATATGGCTCACTATATATATATATATATATATGGTTTAGACCCTCCCGAGATTCCTCAAAATCCAAATGGGAAATTCCTCAAAAAATCATAGAGAATAATGAGGCGAAGATCCTATGGGACTTCTTCATCCAAACAGACAAGCAAATACTGGCCAATTAACCAGATATTGTGGTAATAGACAAGAATCAGAAATAACAATGGTAATTGATATAGCAATAGCAAGACAGGAACGTCAGAAAAAGGAATATGAGAAGCTAGAGAAATACTAAGGGTGAAAGATAAAATAAAGAAGATGAAGGCCAAAGACCCAGTGGTAATAGCAGCATTAGAGGCTGAGTCCCCTAAAATGGAAAGATGGTTTTAAAAGATTTCAGGGATAACAATAAGAGTTTTTACCCAGAAGAGAGTTCTGCTAGGAACAGCTAAAATAATGAGCTTTTAAGTTCCTAGGTCTCTGGCGAATGACCTGAGATTGGAGATGATTTATATTACTCACAAAGGGAGAGAAAAGTGTTTTTTGCAATAAACACCGTTCTTTTTAAATATGACCCTTGACCTCATTTTCTCTAGAAGAAAATTTTCATTTCCAGAAAATTTCTCTCTATTCTTTTCATTTAGATTGAATTTTTGTTACTGAGCGAATTTGCAAATCGCAGCGATAATGGGTGCTCCTTCAACTCAGTAAAATATTTTTTTGCGCATCACATTGTAGGTAATACATTTCATGTAACTTTGAAATATAATAATTAACGATATGTTTATGTAGATTAATGAGATAAGTCATTATTAATAAATAAATAAATTAAAATTTAAATGATCATTGTTTGATGGAGTTCCACCACCTGCGAGAGGAAAAGGAAATATGTATTTAACTATAAAGAAAATTTAAAAAATCCAAGTGATGCCGGCGACTAACCTATGCTTAGACCGCCAAGTAGCTCCACGATAAGATTTGCTCAACAAGGAGCAGACCGAAACTAAAAGAAAAGATAAATAAGACAATTTGAAGGAAATAATTATTCATTTATCAGTTATTATTCAATTTATTATTATTTATTATTCAAACTTTCTTTTCTGTGGCATATTCTCCATTCCTGGATAAAATATTGCAAAATCAAAAAAATTCAACCGATTTGAAATAATATTTTAAGGAGAAGTACCAGAATGCAATACTAATGGTACATGCTCATGCTCGACAGGGTATATTCTTAACGAAACTTCTTATCATTGCGAAGGTAAATAATAATGCGGAATTTTTTCAAACGTAAAACATATTTATGATTCGGTGATCAACAACCTTTATCATTAAAAGTGAAGTCCAAGTAATACATGAAATCCATCCGTCTATTCCGTTAACAAATAACTCAAGTCCTTCACAAAAAAAATGCTCAAATGATCATCAGCTTAGATAGAATATTTGCTTATTAAATCGCTATGCGCAATCGACCTCTGCGTGCCCTTTATAATACGCCTTATTATCATTCAATTAATACGCCTTATTATCATCTTATTGGCCATTAAAATTTCGAATAGATTCTCTCAAAATTCCCAAAATTTTGCGAATATTTGCATATGTAATAGATGAAGATTAAGTGATGCACATGTTGTTGTTCAAACGTTCAGAAAAAATAAAATTTAAGTTAAAATTTAAAATTTTAACTCAAAAGTTAAAATTTCCTGCAGTTCATTTGGAACTTCAAAAGAGGTTTTTTTTTGCTCAGCTTCATCCTTTTTAGATATAGATGAGTGTGAGTTAGGTATTCATAATTGCTCGCAAAAGTGCCATAATACAAAAGGAAGTTATCGGTGTACATGCCATTCGGAATATTTTAAACTGGCCAGTGATCAACGATCATGCAAAAGACTCGATTCTGGTACCTTTTGCTTATTTATTTTGGAATTTTCTAGCAAAAGTTTCTTCGGTTATAATTATTTTTCCTAAGCATCTTTCGACTGAAATGAATGCTTTTCTATATATATATATATATATATATATGAAGAACATTAAACTTGAAGAGGAACCTTGGCTTTTCTTTGCATATGGTCAAAGTATCTGGAATATGTCAATGAATGGTGAAGAAATTTATTTGCAAAAAAGTGGTTTACAAAAGGTGGCAATGATAGATCTTTATATCAAGGTAATTGTTGTTAATAATTGGTGGTTAACCAGTTGGTCGTTCTAGTTTTTTGATAATGCATTTGTACTGCGAATGCATTTTTAATCAGTATATCAAAAACGATTTTTAACCCTTAAACCTTTAGATTTTTAGATATCTATGAAGTCTGAAGTTTTTGTTCAGCCAGAGGATGGCAATACCTTCAAAAACAGATGGCAAGGAAGTTAATATTCCAATCTGCTGTTTTTTAACGTCTAATAGTACATAATAGTTTGTTTTCTAATATTTAACGTCTTAGGAAAAGAAACTTTATTATGCTGACGTGCAACCCAATATCCTCGAAGTGACTAGCCTTGATGGCATATATTCACGACAGCTTCAAACATTCGAGGTTGATGGCTTGGAGGGAATTGCAGTGGATTGGATTGGAAAGTAAATTTAGCTGCTTTTCTCAACAAATATTGGGTTTATTACCGATCTATTTATATTACAAATTTAAAAACTTTTAATCAATTTCTAAAAGCTAAAAACAAATGCTTTATGTAAAAATTACAGAAATTTATATTCATTACGTCGCACAGATTTATTCGTTCAAACACTTGATGGGCTTTTTCGAAAAATTTTATACAGAAAAATATTTCGATTGCCACGAGCATTGGTTGTTTATCCTCAAAAGGGGTATGGAAATGATTATTTCATTATTTCATTAAAATCAATTTGTTTATTATTCACCGAACCAACTTTGTTCATTTTGAGAAAATTATATGCAAGCGACTGGAGTTCATCAGCTTTTATTGCTTGTTTAAACATGGATGGTACCAAATGGCAAAAAATCATCACCGCCGGAATAATTTGGCCAAATGCGCTAACGATTGATATTTTTTCGGAAAGAATTTTTTGGGCTGACGCGTTTTTGGACACAATACAGTTTGTTTATCAATTTTATATCCAAGAAGTCGATTCATTTATTCTGAAGAAAAACAAACAGGGGAGTAGCCAAGTATTTATTTCTTTAATAAAGTAGTGAATAAAAGACAGTTTAAGAACGACATAATCTCGAAATAAAATATTAACCAAAAAAAGAAAAAGAGTTAGGAGTGGATGAACGCTGTGAAGTATAAATGGAAATGAATATATGAAATTGTAAGTTCAAGGCTAACTATTTAAGAAATAAGTTTTAAGATCAGCCGATCTCGATGGTAAACGACGGCGGACGGTCGTTGAAGGATCTAATTCAGTTCCACACGTGTTTAGTCTTGCTGTTTTCGATGATCATCTCTACTGGACCGATTGGACATATCGCGGTGTTTTAAAAGCTAATAAACTTAACGGCCAAAATTTCACTATTTTAGAACGCACGACGTTACTTCCTTATTCTATCAAAGTTTTCCACTCATTTCTCCAAACTGAAGGTATTTTTTAAAAATCTATTATTTGAACACGGATTAAATTAAAGCAAAACATTTATAGTGCTGGCCATCACTTTATTGAATTATCAAACTGATGTTTACTTACATTTGATATGAATATGAGTTAGGAAATTTTCGGTGAGACATTTTTCAGTATTTAATGGATAAGAAAAGATATCATAAATTAATAGGTTAACACAGCCAGTTGGCATCTAAATATTTTATATTTTATTTCTGGCCTCGTTTTAAAGTTTCTCTCCATTCTCTATCAATTTACTTTTTATGAATTTCTTAGACAAAAAAAATGCTTGCGATGCGGCTGGATGTTCGCAATTATGTCTTATATCAGGAGGAAAGAAAGTAAAATGTGAGTGCGGTGATGGGTATTTTCTTGAGAAAGATGGCCATTCTTGTAAATCTAAATGCTCGGATAAAGAAATTGTTTGTGATGGATCTGAATCAAAGTTTGTTAATGTTAATTTTGAATAATTTATTCGGTAATTTTCACAGAAGTATATATTTAGGTCAAATTGGTGGAAATTTCCTACTCAAATGGATAAGAAATTCCAAAAAATAGAGAAAGTTTCTTTCTCTTAGCAGTTCTTTCTCCTAGTAATTTGCAATGCAAAAAGCAAATCCTACACTCTTCTTCTTTTTAAGGATTTTCATTCTTATAAATTTTTGTGAAACTTCTCGATGTTTTTATAGATGTGTAAGTAAAATGTACCGCTGTGATGGGATAATGCAGTGCAAGGATCAATCTGATGAGCAGAACTGCAGTAATAATTGATTTTAATTCTTTTTGCTTTAATCTCCCATTCATTATTGGTACTCGAGTAAGACTGCACTTAACCTATTATGGTGGATAAATACTTTTATTTTGCTTTCATTTTAACCATAAAAAAACTATTATTAATGTTTTCTAGTAATTCCTTAAACTTAAACTAGTAAACTTACGCTTTTATACTTTGCGTAACTTAAAGTGCTAATTTTTATTAAATAGCCATTGTTAATTAAGCAAACTCCTTAATCGACTATATTCTATTTCTGCTTTCTCCAAATCAGTGAGATCACAGTAGAATGCTTAAAATTCTTAAATATCCTTAAATATTGACCAAAAATAAAAAAAAGAAAAAATTATTGAATTAATGTTGACATGAAATTACATGTGCACAGAAGGGTTTTTTAGCTCTTCGGATTTGTCCGCCTGGACATTTCCAATGCCAAACGACAAAAGACTGCAAAATGCCAAGTGCTATTTGTGATGGAAAACGGCAATGTGTAGATGGTTCTGATGAGCGATACTGTCAATAGAATAACATGGATTTCTCATCCTAATAAATTTCTATTGTTTTTCAACATTTCAGCGAAAAGATTCATAAAATAATTTTTTTCCCGCTTTTTTGTTAGCATTTGTACTTGTGTTATATTATAATAATCTCTTGTTATTAATATTGTTGCATTACATTAATTACGATATTTCTTGTTTCGCCTCGTAGTGCCTAAGGTTCAATATTCGGGAGGGATTCGCAGTTACGATCTTTTGTTATAGTTAGGATCAAGACGGCTGATGCGGTAGACTTGGTTTCACCTTTAATATAAATTTCGGATTGGTTTCACTAATATCTTCAATGTGACAGCTTTTATATAAGTTTTTAACTTACAATAGTTCCTTTACCGTATTCAAGTGATCAATAAACATATTTATTGAATGGATTCGTTCGATTTAATTAATTAAACTGCAGGCAATATAGAAACAATTTCAAAATTTAATTGAACACTTGAAAAGTAAGGTTCTTAAGTACAATTAAATAAAAACAATTTACACTGATACAGTTAAGATGACATGGTTCACGAAAAATTTTGAGAAATACGTTCCAAAATAACTATTTCCCTAGAAAATCTAAAAAATTTTTCGCCATTACGCTTTTGTTTCACTGAATTTTTAAAATATTTTACAATTTTTTTTCGATAAAAGCAGGAAATTTCGCGTAGAACAATCAACGAACAAAAAAATGCTGGTTTTATGCTTTAATATGAGCGAATGGAACATGAATATCGAATGAAGATAAGAATAACTGCTGAATTTGGAACATAGAAAATTTTGGAACACAATGCAAAAATGTGATAAATAAAATACAATAAAATAAAACAATATAATAATAAACTACAAAAAATTGAAAACTGATACCCTGAAGAAAAAAATTTGAAAGGGTGTTTTTACAAGTCACCACCAAATAGAACTTTGGATCTTAGTCTTAAGACTCGGCATAACCAATTCGTTAGTCTGTATTTAGATCTAATTATCTTAATTATTTAATTAGTGTTGAATTCTCTGATAAGAACCGAAAAAATTAGAGCCAGGAAACTCCCAAAAAATTGTAAGCAAACCACATTAATTTGCAGTCAGCAAACGCATTATGAATTTTATGCAAACTGAGGTTGTTCCGATAATGAATAACTGAATAATTGCTTATACAGCAGCAGTGGTACCAAAAACATTCCAAAAATTAAGTGAACAAACATAGTTTAGCAAGGTGAGTATCACTGGATGAAAATTAGACCAATCAAAATTTTACTGAGTTTTAAGAGGAGCTCTCCTCGTCAAATATATAATAAGAGTTACTAGTGTTAACACAACTGTGAAACTCAACGAAGCGACAATGGTCGCAGTCACTGTTGTTATACAGTTTATGGGCAACGGCCTTCGGAGTTTATTCAAGATTGTACTGAAGCGCGAATCACTTTCTGGTATACCAAAATCTGTAAAATTAACGAAGGTGAAACAAAAATATTTATATTACTACTTAATTTACAAATATTTCTCATCATTTTTGGCTTGTTTGGTCCTGCTGGCTATTAGGGTTCCGTCGCCAGAGGGGCGAATAGAAGCACAGTGAAATATAGGATATTACCCATTACCGAGCTAGCAGATTTTACTGTGCCAAATAAAAGATTAAAAAACAGTGCTAATCGAGGAATTGCTTCATTCGTTCAATTGATTTAAAAAATTTTTCTCCCAGCCTTCAGATTTTTAAATTTCCATAGTTTGATCACACTGATGACAATAAAATCTGAGAAGAAAGGATTTTTTTCTCATATATCCAGCGCATTGTTTGTTATCCGTCAACTATCAAACAACGACACTTTAAAAGTGTGATCGATCAGGTTAATTATCGGTCCGATTTTAAAAGAGATAAAATAACTGACAAACACCAGTTTTACAACACGAATCAGTTGTTTTAAACGAATTACATAATTAAAATAAAATTAGGAGTACCAAGAAAATAAGGATTTATATTATATTCCATTTTTATTAAATTTAGCATCTGATTAATAAAGGCCATCAATCCTACCTCGCTTCTTGATCAGGATTCTGATGTTGAATGGATAAGAATCCTTTTATTGGAGACATAAATGTTGGATGCAGTGGATAATTATATGGATAATTTGAAACAATCGGTTTTAGAAAAAAATTTTCTAACCAATCTGTGGGTCAAGTACGTCAAGTTGTTGAGCTCGAACATCAACTTCAACGAGACCCTCATTGATAATCATATTATCATTTAATGCTCGCCTTTTTAGTGCCCTTTTTTTCGTACTTAAATCGCGACATTGTGGGTGCTGAAATCATCAGCTTTAAATCTAAAATCAATTGATATGCAAGTTTGAAAAAATGTTTTTGTCTAAAAACTGGAAAATATAAATGAATTCGATAGCTTTTAGGAAATCGTACAGGACATTCACCATCCCTGATATCAAGTCTGATTGAACACTGGAAGTTGACAACGACTCGATCTGCGAATTTAAACGCATGTGCTTCTTTCTGTGCTTGGAGATCGCCCGGACCATATTCCAAATTATCAAGCAAATATTTGTCGATAGCACATCTCAAATTTCGCTAACAAGTAAGCATGAGAATTAAAACAAAATCAAACGAAATCAAAAGCACCACGCTTTCTAAAGTGGAAAGATTTACATGTAAGGAAAATAACTTGAAAAAAATCTTGCTGGTTAGGTCCATATTAAAATTTTTAAAGCAATATGTCAGTCACTTTGTCGCATCCATCACAGTTCTAGAGAAATTTCAAAATTCTCTAGAATTCTTGTAAAACGTGGTGTTAGGTGTTTTTTTTAAATGATATAATTATTTAATAAATAATAATAAATAAAATGCATCATGTGCGGAGACGGAGAAAAAAATTTTTGGTTTTCTAATTTAGGCTAACCCATCATCATTAAGAATGACAAATTGAGTGCCTGACCCATCTTCAACAAAACATGAATGAACCGTCATACACCACAAACCTGAAATTAAATATCAGAAAAGACAAAGCTTTCAAAACATTCCTACCTATCGACGATAAGGCTATCGGATTATCTAAAAAGAGTTAAAAATACTCGTACAATGATTTTCTTTTATTTAAAACAGTGTTAACTGGCAGTTTATCTCGAAATTATCGTTTTTGTATCAAAAACTAAGTTTTGAAAATTTTATAATATTTTATAATCTATAAGTGTTTTTTATACTATATGTTATATTAGAGTAAAAAATTATAATAGATAGATTTTTTTGGGCAAACTTGGAGCAGTTGAGTCGCAAATCCATTTATGAAGTAGTTTATCTCCAACAGATACTATATTTAATGGTTGCATCGTAATTGGATCGACGACTTCATATCGACAACGTGGCATTTCTGCCAGTTCTGTGAAGGGTTCTAGCGAACGCATCGAAACAGTTAGTGGATATGTGACAGTTTTATCTGCTTCCATATAAAAGCAACTGATTTCGTAACCCTTAAGTTCGCTGAACATTTAACAACAATTAATCTATCAAATGTTATGGTAGATTAGTTTGAAAAATATGCGATTTTTCTATTTCTTTTCTAATTCATTTCTATAAAATCCACAAAAGCAAAAAAGTTTAAAAAAGCATCAACAAGGAAGAATTTTAAAAAAATATTGCGAGAATATTAGCTTTAAGCGGAGACGGATTTTTTTCTTTCTCCTTCAAAAAAAGATATAAACTGAAACTAAATTTTTTCAACTTTACACGATTGCATAAGTCTGTTCAACAATCTTTTTAGTAATTTTCGAGTTATTCAAAAAGATTTTCAGTTTTTTCAATATTTATATAGATAATATGCCACAAATTTCGTGTTTTTCATAGTGATTTCGTTATCAAGAATTCTTAACAAGAATCTTTTGCGCCAAGGGTCATTTACTGAGCGTTTTTAGATGCATAGACGCCTTTTTCTAATATTATTCACAATTTCCAGTTTAAAAGGCTTTGCTGATTACTAGGATGTGGCACCTTCGCCATAGAATTCCAGAGGTCTCTCCAACATCTCCAGCACCACTTAGTCCATGTCTATTCTATGTCTTTTCTGAACTGTGTTTTAAATGCATCAAAAATGTAGAGGTATAATGGAAAACAATTTGGTATGAAAATTTCTCTTTGTGATAGGATCGTTGGTTCTGCTAATCTGGTTTATGGTTTAACTATATTCATAATAAAAAAAAATATTCTAAGCAAAACCAAAATATAAATCCAAGTATTCAATTTTGTAAATCCGAAAGAGACCCATGAACCATAGGCTAGGAAAATTTCACTCTAGATTGAATTCATAGCACTCATTCTTCAAGTAAAATATTTTTGTTATTTTTTCAAAGGCAGTTATTGAAATGTACAAGCACAGCATTTGGTATTACCTTATAAAAAATAAGGTGCGAATTTGCAAAAAGTTGCTAATTAAATTTCCTACTTTGATTTAAAATAAAGCAATAAAAACGTTAGTTAAAACGTTAGTTAAAGCAACCGGGCAGTATTATGAAGTTATAAATGAAAACAATAACCTAAATTTTTACATACCCTATCAACCTTCGTGATAAATTCTTCATGAAACGATATCATTACTTTTACATTTACGAATAAGCCAGCTGGGCTTTGCTGCAAAAAAACAAATGAAATTTTCTTGATCACCTCAACATTTTAATATTATGCTTTCATCTTCTGGAGATCGCTCAAAGGAGAAGAAATATTTTGCAGAATTTCCTTTCGTCATCATTTGACTGACTCATCTGGTTGCTGGGAGAAAGTTTTAAGACTTGGCGATTCTGCCCTTTTATTTTAGAGATTCATTGTTCAATAACGATTCAGTGTTCACTAAATAAAAATCCTTAGTCCAGCGTGGATTCATCCATATTTCAACGACTTTATTAAGTGGCATACGAAGATTGTACGAACATATCAGTTTTTATTCGTTTGTAGAGATAAATAGATTGATTCGTCATTCAATGGATTTCTGCCGATTTATGTCCTCATGTATTCGGATTAGAAAGAGAAAAGTGTTTGATCGTTTTTTCTTGGATGAAATCTTGTTTTCCTATGAAATGACTGACATTTCGATTAGGCAAAAAGAGAAAGGGAAAGTAATTAAAACCATTCTCCAAAAATTTGCGAATTCAGCCAAAACGATTGAAGAAAACGAGATGAATCGAAATAAAACGAACGCCAGAGAAAATTCAAATCATTTTCGGAACAATTGTAATACAAATTCAAAAATTGGCGATATTGAAATGAAAGTGAAACGAACCGGGAACATGGATGAACTGACGATAGACAAACCATTTGGTAACCAGGATAAACCATTTATTCAGTGATATCAATCACTCAGTGTTGAGATTTTCAGAAGAATATTAACCCAATCGATGAAGCGATAGCTAACTTTAACGTTACTTATCGTTTATAAACTTCACAAAGATCATATCGCACAGCAAGGAGACACAAGCATTACACTTGGTTTAGCGCAGTGACAGTAGAAAAAAGGAAAACTAACAGATCGAGTTGTAACGACTCCACATTGGTCTTTTCGTATTGAAATCGACGTTGTCCGTCGGCCAGTATCTCGTGAAACACATTGATCCTCATTGGAATGACCAACAACGTAAACACGGCCTTGAAAAACGCTTTCTGTAAGAAAGACGATGTCGATAGTGTCCTCACCGCACTCAACTTCGGCTTTTCCTGAAAATAACCCAACTCGCTTATCATTTTTTAAAATTATTTTATTTTTAAAAAATGCTGTTTCAAAACTAAATTTAGATTTTATATGAATGAAAGTTATGAATGAATTATTTAGTTATATAAGCAATAATGAATTTAAAAAAATAGTAATGCACTTGCTTGTAGTAAGTTTAAGTAAGTATGAAGGAGCAATTTTTCAGAGAAAACTGAGAAGAGAGAATAGCAATGACAGGATGACTCTTAAATAAAATGTAGGATTTATTTAATTCAGCGATGGTACTAAATTTAAAATTGGCACTAACAACTGATCAAAAAGGATCCCTAGTTTAGAGTATCGGGATTTTTAAAGAATGGTCATATGAAATATGATTTGGTAAAACATTGTAATACGCAAACTATTCTAAAAGCTGCGCAAACAAAGCGTTATTATGGAAATAATGGCGGAGTTTTTTGGAAACAAATATTCCTTTCACTTGATGACAGCAAACTCGTGTTTGAGATGAAATCCAGCTACTGATAGCGAAAGAATCGTAATAGTAGCAAAGCGAAAATAGAACTTTGAACCCATATAAGAGTAGGTATCTGAGATGCATCCATCTCTGTTCAAATACCATCTATATTAATGCCATCACAGAACTCGCTGGTTAGGGTATGTTCTTTGTCGCCAACCACAGGATATGACAAATATTTCGTTATCCTGTGATTGCTAGCGTCAAAAGCAAGATGGGACAATCAAGACCTGGGTGCTACAGTAAGGAAAAATTTTGAACATAGATGAACCAGCGATATATGAATTTAGGCTGTGAAAAAGGAAATGGGGAAATGGCTTCTCTTACTATCTATTAGCTATGGCAACAGATCAAACGACTCGGAAACGTTGTAGCCAGCTGAGCCAATCCAGTAATGGTAAAAACTATTTGAAAATGAAGAAATGTATATGAGATTTAGTTAATATACCAGAAATCGAAAAAGAAATAATTTTTGGCTTCCGGTCACAAGAAACAGAATAAGGAATAGAAAAATTAAAAAGAAAGTATTTCTAATGAAAGTCTCTTTTAAGGCTCTATAATATATGCATTGATTTCAGGCTTGCAAGCTAATTTCTCTAAAGATTACAAATTTATAAACCAAAACACTTGCTGTGGTTTATCACCTATAACATTTTTTGAGGAATTATTGCCTTTTCATCTAATTTCCCACTTGCTTCATTAGATTTTCAAAGCTCTGGTAATACTACCTTTTGTTTAAATCCCATTAACTATTTACATATTCGAATGAAATTATTACTAAGCTAAATGGATAATTCTAGACAAATTTTTAAATTTCTTCTAAAATTTTCAAAAGATTAAACCAAACGGCAAAGATTGACAGTCCTCTATAAGATTCAATTGGATTCACAATTTTTTCACTAAGTTTTCTTTCGAAAAAAGATGAAATGAAAAATCTTTAAAAATTAGCTGAAAAAACCCGAGAATAAATGAGAATAAAAGAAGTGAAAGAAATAGTGCATATAAAGCATTAAAAAATAAAATAATTTTTTGAACTGATAAAAAAATGATACCAATTTGTTTGTTGGGTATGGGAATAGAGAATGATGAAGGCAAAAGGAGTATGAAGATGAGCACATTTCGTTGGATCATCATAAGGCACTGATTTGATAGTGATTTTGTCCGATCTCTTGTACTGCGGCGATGTTCCGTTTCTCTAAAGACAAGATTCGCCCATAAATCGCCGCAGGCGCCACTATTAAGTCTTCTCATGGCGACGGCATTGGCCCGGATCTTCTTCTTTCAGGTTCAGTTAAAATTATTAACTTATGCCATCTTCACTTTTCAAGTACTGCTTCTACTGTTTTATGAACTTAATCGGTTTCGTTTTTTTCGGCAAAAAATGAAGGTCATAAAATTATTAAATGCACAAAGAAAATTTAATAATTATTTTGGTTATCAATTGTCTTTTTATGTTTTCGAATATAGTTAACGAGATTTCTTGTTTAAATATTTATGAGCCAATTAAGCTATTTATGATTTTCGTGAAAAAACCACTCTGTCTTTTTGCACGGCCGAGAAATTCTGACCATCTGAAAATTTCAAAATAAAGCAAGAAAGAGGTTTCTAAATGAATTTTAACAAAAAAGCGAATTTTAATAAATGGTGTGAATGAAATGAAAGAAATTTTGGCGGATAAGTCAAGTTGCTATTCGAATGCTATTCGATTTGCCAGCATTTTATGAAAACGCCGATGAACATGGATCGAAAATTTATTTCCAAGATCTTTTTAAGCTGTAACGATAAGTAATTTAGAATCCGATCAGCTAATATTTATTTAGAATAACATAAAATAACGCGCAAATGAAACAGTTAAAACGAATCTGCGAGGACTCGAAGAACTCGGGGAATTTAACGAAAATATGGCGATGATGGAAGTTCCGTGATGCTTTTTTCTTTGTTTTTCTCGTCGTTAATTAGATTTATAATTGTTTCTTCTAGAAAAGCTAAAAAAAGAAATGCACAATGGGTAAGCAAACGTAACCAGTGGAAAAACTAAACATAAAAAACTTGATTCTTGCCTTTGTCATTTTATAGCAAATGTTATGACTATTACAGCTGACCATAATTTAGCGTTAAAGACGACAATTAAATGAAAGTGTTTTTTGTTTTTCATTAAAAAAATATATATCGGCATAAAATTTTGCCAAGCCAATAAGGTAGCCTGACGTTCGATTCCCCGCAGGAGTGAACCTATAAATAAATCCGGATGATGCTGGTGACTCACCTGTATTTCTATCGCCAAGGGACTCTCTGGCATATTTGCCCAATGCGACAAGCCAGTGAAGCGAGTTTAACCAGTAATGGTGAGGACTCTTTAAAAAAAAAGGTAGCTTATTAAAAATGGTGATTGTTGGATAAAAAAATTTTTTTGCTATCAAGAAATAAACTTTAAAATTTAATTTAAATTTAAAATTGAAATTTAAAATTCAGCTTTGTGAAATTTTATTTTTGTAAGCTGAAAGGCATTCAGTTCAATGAGTATAAATAAACCTGCGATGGCCACGCACGCCGATTAAGGGCTTTTTAAAATGATTTTGGAAACAAATTTGATCCATGTTGACGAAACTTATCATAGCCAAATATTAAATGAATGCTTTTGCTTTCAAGGAATCAAATCAACTCAGTGGTTTCTCGTTCGACCAGTCAATTAATTCGTCATTCAGTAATTCAAAATTCGCTTTATTCTTAAATATTTAGATTTTCAACACGATACACCGTGCAAATTCCTTATGAAACTCGATGGCATGCAAGATTTCTTTTTTTCTAAAAAATTTATGAATTTTCTTTGCTGAGATCTCTTTTCTAACAACAGTTTCTGTGGTCGGCACCACTAACCACTGGGACAATGTTTTTTCAACAAAAAGGAGTCCTTAGGAAACACAAGCATACTGAGTAGTGACCATCATCCAAATTTGATATTTAATGACACAAATCAAAGAGGCCTCGATCTGAGCCGAAACAACACGCCATTCAAGCACTCAGCTCCTTTCCTTAAAGAACAATCTATGTTTATCAAAAAACAGAAAAGAATAAAATAAATAAAATCATCGAAAATTACAAATTTATAAAACTGCATTACAGTGAAAATTAGCAAAAATTTAATGATAAAATTAAGCCAAAATGGAAATGCTGCAGTAATGCAAGGCGGTTTCCACAAGGATTTCCGCTTGTCTTACAGTTTGACGAATACTGAAAATTTGCATAAATTTGTAAATTTGTAATTTATACGCTTAAATTAGAGTTAGAAAGATTTTAGACAATTAAACATTTGGCTTTTTTCGTCTCATATTGAGATTTGGTCACCTAAATCGTTGCTTGCATCGCTGAGAATTTATTTCGAAACAATGAAAGGAACGAGATTAATAAGCGCAAAAGCGCGTTCTCGTTTTTAGAAGACTTGTTTTCGCTAAAAGCTTATCAGCAAACAAAAATAATACGAGGGGTTTTTCGAAAAATCATGATTTTCATCTAATTGCTTATTTTCTTCTTCCGATTCACGACTGTCCCGAAATTTTGTGGATGTTTGTTTATGCATGGAAAATGGACAAAGTCAAACAAAGATAAAAAAAATATTAATCCGACATTTAAAAACGAAATCCTTCTCATCGTTTAGTGCGGATAATTAAAGATGAAAAAAGTTCCAGTGAATTCCAACGACCTTTTCTCAGCGATATTCTTCCTCAGCGATATCTTTTTGGCGCTGCTTAAGTGAAGAAATTTTGCAAAGACCGACTAATTCAATATTCAATAAAAAAAGAAATTATGATTGAAAAAGTGGAAATTTTAGACGAAAATCTTACCGCAAAATCATTACATTACAAACTCAAATGAATGTTTCGAAACAATTTTAATTTAATTTTAATTTGTTAAAATATTCCAAAATCTTGAACTAATTTTACTAAAAATGGATTGATTTTTTTTGCTTTTTTGATTTTTTTTACTAATTTTACTAAAAATGGATTGATTTGGATTGAAATGGATTGAAAAAAATGTTGTAAAATAATATGTGAAAAATAAAAAAGACAAAGTTATAGCCATACACTCGTTTAATTTGTTTTTTATAAACATAAAATTGGAAAAGCCTTGGATTTGTCTGAAAATATATTATGAAAATATGAATTTTAAAATATATTTTACGGATCCGACGTGCATTTAAAATTCGCACATGATTGTATCCACCTGCATTAATTATCACAGAGCGTCGTCTTCGCTGGTTAAGGGTTCTTCGTCGTTCAGCACAGGAAATGATATATTTCGCTTGCTTGCCGAACGTTGTGATGGTTGGCGTCAAAAACGAGGAGGGCCATTCAAGACTTGGACTGATACAGTCAGGAAAGATTTTGAACGTATAATGGGACCAGCTTTATATGAACTTGGACGATGGAAAAAGAAATGGCTTCTATTATCATTAGCGATGGCGACAGGTCGAGCAGCTTAAAGACCCTTACCCTTGTAGCCAGCGTAGGCCTAATGGTGAAAGCTTGAAAAAAAATTGGAAAAATCTTGCATTTGTCTGAAAATACTATGCAAATATAGTGTTAAGAAACTGCGAAACTATTTCTTTTTAAAAAGTGGTGCCGACAAATTACCAAAAAACTTCGGTCCGCAAATGCCAGTTATAAGATGCCAGCTGAATCTTCCGTAAAGAAAGGTAAGTTCAAATAAATCAACTCAGTTTGTGCTTAACAAAAATGAAGGACGGAATAAAATAAATCCTTTAAATTTCACGAAACCAATTTATCATCATTTTTAATTTTTCCTCATAATTAAATGTATACTGTTGCTCAAGAAACAAAACAGGAAAGGCCACATTTCATAAAAATTTTGTTGCGTCCAATCGTTTAGACCACCAATTTGGAATTTCATTTCCATTAATGATAAACAAGATTTATTCCTTACCTAGTGAAATTCATATGAAGTCGAACGCCATCAATCAAAGTACGAAAAAAAGTACGAAAAACGATTTATGGACGACGAACACTTGCTTTGTTTCCGTTGATGGATTTCTCATCTAAAATCATCCGACTTTCCATTTCATCAAACATTCGTTCAGATTTTTGAAAATCTTGGTAAAATGACAGATAAATGGTCATACGTCGCCATGACGATTCGAACAAAGATGAGAAACCTTTAAGAGTAATCGGTTACATTTCAATTGCCAAATTATAAACTAAGCTAAACTTCATGAAAACAGAGCGATATCTTATGGCAGTAAAAGCGAGAGAATGCATTCTCCTTAGGTTCAGTTCAACAGGTTTGGATTCGTAATGAAACGTGAATAATCCCAACATTTTACAAATTCTTTAACAATAAAAACTTTTTTCGAACTTTTTTTTGAACCTTTCTTGCAAAAAATGTGCCATTATGCCATTACGCCGAAGGTGCACCAATATTTTACTACAAATTTCTCTGGAAAAACAAATTGACATTCCCTGAATCCCAAAAAACCAGTTTAAAGTTGAAATTCGCTCAGATTTTAATCAGGGTCAATCGTTCCAGTTGTTCTTTAAATAAATACCCCACCTTCATATTTCGAAAAAAAATTCCTTCGCGATATGTTCCCCATCAAAATATTGTCATTAAATATTGAAAGAAAAAAAAGTCAATTTTCATGACGATGGAAATAATATCTTTACATAAAAAGAGCGCAGTTCATTCATTCATTGGAAAGAACATGAGAAAAAAACATCCAAGATATGCAGTGAAAACAGTGGTATTAAGAAATACACACCATGTCATTCATTTATTATCATTAACAATCCCTTAAAACAATACTGTCAAACAATCTTTAAACAAATCGTACAACCACTGTCATCGCACAATTATATCCTCTTTTTAATTTGACAAAAAGCCTTCATCTTACGGCGGTATCCTGCTCCACTCAATTTTGACCGGAAGGCTAACTGAAAATTTTTTCATATAAACTATAAGGAGAAAGTCAAAGTTTTCAACAGGAAATCTTAAAAGATTTCACTAAAATTATTAATAACAAAGCTAACCTTCGGTTTGCCACTAAAGGGCAAACTAACAAATGGAGGTACTGTGAATCCAAATGACTTGGCAACCGCAATCAAATCTAATGTATTAACGTCGAAAATTGTTTTCAGTGAGTGAGAATCGTATGCGCGAATATAACATTTATAGGCTTCCTAAAATTCTAAATTTGCAAATTTTTGGAAGAAAAACGAAAAATTTGATAATAATGAAACAAAATTTTTCAACAAAAAAATTTATGTTTAAAATGTATAAAAATATATAAAATATATATAAATATATACATATAATAACACATAACAACATACATAATACGTATACTTATAATATACGAAATACATATAATTATAATGTACATAATATATATTTATAAATTTATATATATATATATATATATATTTATATATTTAACATATATAATACAATATTCATAATACCAACCAATATCAGAAAAATTTTACCTAAGAAAAAGATAGAGAAAAATACCTTTGCAGATTTATTAAGAAAATAATTCTGTTCAATTAGCTTTTCTAACTGGAGCTGAATATTGGCAATTTTAGCCCAGGAAAACTCAAATTCATTAAGAGCGACTTTCGCTTGTTTTAAATAACGCAAGAAACCAAGTTCCTCAGGTCGAAGAATCAATAAAGCATGGCCAGTCCCAGCTTCACCACGAGCAGTTCGACCTACCCTGTAATACATACAGAGAAATACAATATATTTCCATTACAAGATAAAAAAGATCAAAATAAAAAACGGATTCTATCTCAATCAACATTAATTAACCTGTGGATGTATTCGCGCGGTTCATCAGGTGGATCATACTGAACAATCCAATCAACTGCTGGTATATCTAGGCCACGTGCTGCAACATCAGTACATAATAGTATGCCAATTTTTGCTTGACAAAACGAAAAAAAGGTGCATGTACGTTTTTGCTGTTTTTGTTTGCCCTGAAAAACAAATAATCTTATTTTACAAAAGGAAAATAAATAGAAAGATAAAAGGATAATGTGCTTCACTTATATATATATGTATTATATCATTAAATTTCAAAAAAGAACAAAGAAATAAGAAAAAAATAAATACATGAATACACTGCACAGGAACATCGATATAATTTAATAATTCGTGATGGTATTTTACTGAATTGCAAGAAGAAAAAAAGACCATTATTTTCTTATTTCGATTCTTCCTCAAGAAAGTAAATAGCAATAAAAATCTTTTATCAGAAGGACAAACAACATATCCCTGAAAAAAAAACCATTATGAATATAATTATGAAATGAAATAAATAAATCAGTGGTTAGTATCCATCATCTCTAGTTAGCTTAGCTTAACTAACTTAGTATGAATAGTATGATTAGAAACTAAAGTAACAGAAACCATTTTGTAACAGGGTTGTCAACACTATTTTCTAATAAAAAAAGTTATTCTTGTTAGACAAATCGCTAATACTTAATGCAAAAATCTACTCTATTAACTTCTGAGTTATCCTGCCCAAAAAAAGAAGAATATAAATCGACTGACCTGCTGCAAGCCAGAAACTGTTGCAGAAGCATTCTGATTAGCTTCACTCTCTCGATCTAAACCGATGAGAACTGGGTCGGAATTCAAAGCACTTTTAATCAAACCCTCGACCTAAATAATTCAAATTATCTGAAACAGTTATAATCAAGAAAATAAGAGGAAAAATATATATTATGAAAGAAACAAATATATGGAAGAAAAAATATTTAACATCTATATAAAAAATACTTTAGCAGAATTAGTGGCCGAAAAAAGCAGTGTTTGTCGCCTTTTCGGCAGCAAACGAAGAATATGGTGCATTTCTTGTTCAAAACCAATATCTAATATCCTATCAGCTTCATCGATAATCAAACATTTCAGGTTTTTCACCATAAAACCCTCCGTATTCTACAAAACTAATTCATTATAAAATGATTAATTCGTACCACATTTTTAAGAAATTGAAAATGGAATACAAAGCATTCCTATCCAATATAATCCCACAGTTATTCATTGCTATAGCAGAATATTAATGATTAACCTGAAGATGATCCAATAAACGACCAGGAGTTGCAACAAGGAAATTGATATAATTACACAATTTTTTAACCTCAGCTTGTCTATTAGCTCCTCCCATTACGAGTCCGTGTGTTAAAGCTGGATGTTTCCCGAGAATTTCAGTTAATACACCATAAATTTGTAAAGCCAGTTCTCTGAAAACCAACTAGTTTGATGCACTTGAATCATTAAATAAAATAGAACGGAAAAAATCTTGTGATATGGTACAGTGAAATATCAGGGAATAGATTTCCGATGTATCTTTATGATACATGGGAAAAAACCTACCTCGTCGGAGATATAACAATAGCACCGGTGCCATTCCAAGTCTTCCAGCCGAGCCGAACGAGCAATTCAACTGCGGGAATTAAAAATCCAAGCGTTTTACCACTACCAGTTTTCGCAGATGCCAAAACATCACGACCCTATGAAAAAATGAGATTTCTGAAGTAAAATGAGATCATTTATATATACCATTAAAAATATTTACTACATCCATCTATTGAACGAAAAAAGATTCTGAAAAAAATTATTTGCATAAATTTAAAAAATTTTAATAAATTGCATAAATTAATAAATTTTGAATTTGAATTGAATTAAAAAGTTTTTATAATAAAATAATAACAACTATTCAGCTATTAGTAGGGAAATTGCAGGAATTGACAATGCAAGATAAAGGGAAAAAAAAGAAAAAGAATAAATAAAGAAATAACTTAGATTAAAAATGTGGGATAATTTAAAAAGAAAACGCAAAAAATAAAAAACAATCCATTTTCCTGTCTATTTCAGGAAAAAAAGTCGAAAAACCAAATAGAAAAAAAAACACGTACTTCGAGTAACGGTGAAATACATTTGGCTTGTATTTCTGTCATATAAGTGAAACCCATTTCTTTAACAGCAGAAAGAGTTGCTGCAGAAAGACAGCCACTTAAGGAGTCGAACCTCGTTTTTGACAAATAAGTAGAAGCATCCAGCTTTTCGCCAATTTTTTCTCCTTCATCAACATTTTTCTCTATTTTATCGCCACTTCCAAGTTTTGAAAAAGTTTGTTCGCTTTCTTCATTTTTCTCCTCCTCAAAAAACACTTTAATCAATATCAAATGAAAATATTTTCGTAAATACTAAAAAAAAGAAAATTATAAAAAATTAAGGGAAATAAACTGAAAAATCCTTCTGCAGCATAAGCAGTTGCAATTACTTCAGTTTATTCAGTCGACTCCCCTCTTCCACCGCATTTATAGCTAAGAAACGGAACGATGAGAAGAATTATAAGAATATTAAATCACTATAAATTAGTTCAGTGAAAACGAAGAATAAAAGAAGCACTGGAAAAAAAGAAAAAATGAAGTCATCTGGCAATGCAATGAACTCGGCGATGTGAACACAACAAATAAGCATCGAAACAAACCGAAAAGTAAAAGAAAAGGAAAAAAATCCGAAAAAGTTGCAAAATGAAAAAGACACAAAAGCAAACCAAATCTTTCATGTAAATTTCCTCTTCATTATTCAAATCGCAATTTTTCTTCTTTTTCGTTGAATTCGAATCTTTTAATTTGTTTAATTTCCGTTTCAGAATTTTTTTCTGAACATTTACCATAGTTTCTGAACATTAGAAATTACTAAAAATTACAATTACAAATTACAAATTTAAAAAAAAAATTACGAAAAATAAATAAAAAATAAAATAAAAAATAATAAAGTAAGAAAATTATAATTTTAAAAAGCAAATTTTTACAATTAATTTTGTATTAATTTAAATCTGTTTTAATCTGTTTTTTTTTCAATTAACTGATATAAACAATTGCCAACTTAAACTGATTATTTTACGCCAAAATTAACCGTTAAATTATGAAATGAACCAAATTGCACGCTGCAAAGCATACAACTGTTTTAGGTATAATTTGGCCAGTTATCCCCTCAAAGATTTCAAAAAACCTCAAGCAAAACCCCGCACACCAACAAATCACACTTCAAAACAACGATTAGATTTGACGATCGAGAATTGTCGGACGAAGCCTCAGAAAACGCCAATTGGCGGCCGCAGCAAGCGAAAGGCCGTACAGTGCAATTGCATCCTAGATGTTTGTGGAGTTCGCTCGTCGTAAATTCTGTTCCTCCACGGAATTCATATTTTCGGAACCCTCCTTGTCTAATATTTGCATTCTAATACTTTCGAATTGGTTCGGAACGGACGGCTAACGTTTTAAACTTCCACTTCGATTATTTGCAACCTTGGAAGGCAAATTGTTCCTGCGGGATTGTCGCTGCCCGCAGGAAGCCAATTTCTCCTCGATTTTGCAGTTTTATATACCTTTGCATCGATCTTTTTTGCTTTAAAACCTCAAATTCACCGCTTTCTTTTTTAGAAACTTTTTCCTCTTCGCTATAATATTTATTTACTTATTTGCAAACGCTTTTACAAATTAGAAATTAATGTTTGATTGTCAATTATTTGTTTGAAATACACTTTGAAAATTTTTTTTTTTTAATTGAATTTTTAGTTGAAAAGAAGAAAATGCAAAATATAGAAAATACAATGTTATAAACAGTGATGAAATCGGTGAAATTTTTTTGCAATATTTTGTGAATCAAAATTGTTATAAGAAGGAGTGCCAACATTTTGCTTCGCTTAACCCTTAATTATGATATGACCGAACAGCGACCGTTTCCCCATTTGGCTGAAGCCCAGCAGGTACGATGTCCTTAAAGTGAAATCCAGGTGGTGGACTCACCTGGTGGATTCGCTTCTTATGTGGTCCTCTGGGAGAGATCTGTGGGATAGCCAAATTAGAAATGATTAGGTGAGGGTTAAATTAAAAGGATTGCGGAATGTTGTAGAATATAAATAAACCAAAAATAATCTAAATAACTACCTGACAACCTATATTACGTAAAACACATCGTTAGCACACGCACTAGCATTTGCAAGGATGTTTGGTGCAGTGCGTGTAAACTTTGGTAAGTCCGAACTGAATAGGTGCGAACTTCCTGAATTAGCTAATTGTTGAAGCTTTTTGCCAGTAAAGTAAATAAAGCGAAACGATCACAAAAATGGTCATTCAAGGAAGAACAACGAAGAATTTACATTGTAATTGGGACTGTAATTGATAATCGGATGGAAACGATATCTGCTTTCTTCTTCAAACTGATAAACCAAATTTAGATTCAAATCTATAAAAGTAAAATTTAAGAAAATGAAAATGAGAAAAACTGAAATATTGGTGGTCAACAATGACAAAAAACAATGTCGAAGTTGGAAAAATCGTTAATTTAATTAGAAACGTCGATCCACGAATGGAATTAACTGACTTGAAGAGTTATTTTAAACGGTTATTGAAAAAATTGCAACTAACCAGGTGGGAGTTGGGAAAATATCAAATGTCGACGATGACAAAGATATCCGTTCGCTCAGAAGTTTCATTAATTTGCATATTTGAATACGTAATCGCTTTAATTTCCGTGCCTTGCGGATGCTGTTCGATATCAAATGAATCACCCCAACAGCGCACGGATATCTCGAATTTCTGCCGATCAAAACTTAATACTTCCGCGATTCGTCCGACAAAAAAAGGCTCCGTTGAGAAACAGTACAAAGCCTCATCAAGTAATCGTGCAACTAATGAAATCAGATCGATTCCACTTGCTTTCATGTCAAAAGAATATTCAACGTTGACTGACGATAGCTCAGTCATATAGCCGTACATCGATACTAACAGCTGTTCAACTGCTTCTTCTAACGTTTTACCCCACGCATGGAGTTGAACATCGGCCGTGTGGTCCAAATACTCATACTTAACTTCCACGGGTTCCTTCGTCATTCCTCTTTTCCTTTTATTTGTGACTGAAAAAACGAAAAGAAGCAAGAAGTGTTGGTTCGAAAGTACTTTTTTTTTTTCTTGAAGCTTTTCAGAAATAAATTAGATGTTCCTTTATAAACAATTACTGATAAAGTGAAATATGAAATTTATTTATTTAAACCTATTTCAAACCTATTTAAAAAGAAAAATACGGTGGAAATCAAAAACTAATCACTTATCTTCGAGCAATTAAATTGATATCGAAAATTGCCGAATTGGAAATTTCTGTGAAAAACAATTAATTAACCAACTTCTAGTGCGATACAACCCTCAGCCAGCAAGAGATTTGTATCAGATTTGTATCATACACCGTAAAATACAATAAAAGTTCATCAGAAAACGATAAAATTCACCAAAAATGCACAAACAGTCTCTAATTCAAATTGTATTTTCTAAAAGATGTTGCAAGAAGATCTAGCACATAGCCTGGTTCATCAATACTCTCTAGCGATCCCAGGCATGTTTAATACAATTATATACAATTATAATTCTTCAGAGATTCTTCTCGTTGTAATAATATAGTTTAACATTCTAATAACATTGATATTAATGTACAATATTACCGATTAAGATGGTGTGGACAATAAATAAATTTTCATTATTTTGATTCTATTGATTCATTCTCTGATTAAATTCTGAATTCATGAATATATATAGAAAATAATGAAAATTAGAAACATCAAAATTAAACAAAATTCGCAAAAAAAAATGCGAAAAGTCACGAAAATCTCAAAAAGATCTCAAAATGAAATTTAAATCACTAAACATTAGAATCATTATTTTAAAAAATTATGACCCTAATAAAAAGGTGCAAATAGAACTTTTTCATTATGTTGAGTCGCATCATCCATCAGGAGTTCCATTGGACATATTCCACAGTTATATATAATTCTCACAGTTATATATACGAAAACACAAATTTCTATACTTTTTTCCTAAGGCTAATATGGAATATGCAATATATAAATATGAAAAAGTTTTACAAAGGCATTAATATTTACAAATGCAAATTTTTGGCAATTTTGAAAAAAATTTGAACATAATATTTATAAATTATATTTTTTGAAAAATAAATATTCACAGTGAATAAACAATTTCTTATCCTTATTGATCGTACTTATTTAATCCAGCTTTGGTTTTTGCGCAGAAAAAATAGGAATTTGTCAAATATGTTAAAAGAACAATAACTAACAATATATTAAATACTGTTTTCTTTTTTTATCGAATATTATTTAATAGGACCCCACTCGCGAAAAAAGTAAATGTGTAATTAAAAAATCCAAGTGATGCTAGATACACATTCGTGGTTTTATCGTAAGGCAACCCTCTAGCAAAAGTTTCTTATAATAAACAAAAAAGAAATAAAAATGTTTCAGATGTTTCAGCAAACAAAACTGAAAGTACAAACCAAACTAGAAATGATAAGAGGAGAGCAAACCAATATTTATGAATATTACGCTTTATAAGTTTCGAAATTTTTGAATTTATGGAACAAAAATTTAGCCCATGATGTTATCAAAGAATTAATCCATTTCATAAGCTTCCTCCTCGCGTTCTTCTGGAAAAGGATCGCGATTGAAAGCACGGCACGTGAACAAAAGCACTCTTTTCAGAGATTTGTTGACAAAAAAATAGTTAAAACACCATATGACTCCCGGTTCCGAAAATGGATCGTTCTTAAAATCCGGCGTATAGCTAAAATTTTAAATGTAAAAATTAATCGAGAAAATGAAAAAAGTATTTTCAAGAAGAAATATAATTTTTCGCAACAAAAAAAAGTTAAAAAAATCGGTAATTTGAAAAGAAATAAGGTAATATTATTAAAAATAAGGATTGATAAAAAACCTGTAAAAAGTGCAATCATTAATATTGATAACCTCGTTGACACTCGCCCACAAAACTGGTCTCAATTCGTAAAAGGCTCGCACAAGTGTATCAAATTTTGAATTGACCATATCAACCAAAGTCTATAATGTTTTTTAAAATCACAATAAAAACCAAAAATTTAGGGTAAAAAAGTGATAAATAATTACTATTTTGTGAAAATTAAAATTTTTGCAGCCTAAGACAATGATAAAACTGAATAATTCTAATTACTTTAAATGTCCATTAATCGTAAAAATAATGATTGAAAAAAATGAAAAATGCAAATGAAAAAAAAAACCCTACACTGAAATTTGGAATAAGCGAAAACGAATCAGTTCTTACAAGCGAAAAATCGTAATCCGGATAAGAAATATTCAAAACAGATGTTAAATCGAAAATTTCGCGATAAAATTTCTCGTCAAAATTTTGATTCTGCTAAACAAAAAAATTACACATAAACAATAAGGAAATAAATTAATAAAATTACCATATTTTAAATAAATCCTGCAGAACGAAAGAGAAAAAATATATTTATTATTTCATTATTTATTATTATATTTATTACTTTAATCAAACCATTTGAAATTAACAAAGAAAAACTAAAATAGAAAAAGACAAAAATATTCAAGAAAAAATTTAATAAATTTAACATTGCGAAAATATAAATTAATTGAATAACAATTTTCAATGGAAATTACTAACTTTATACTTCAGCAAAAATTTTTTTCAATTCTTTCAGAACAGAAATAATTTTAATTGTAGATAGTTTTCAACAAACCAAGTTTTAAGAGAATTTGGATTCGCTTTAACCGAAAATACGCTCATAAATAAGATGAAAATAGATGTTGGTTGATAAAAAGTAAAAAATCATAATAATCGAACCTTAGTTAAAAGTTGAACATCATCTTGGTGTGAACACGATGGTTCAGAAACGTGCCGAGGTCTTTCTCCTTCAGCAGCCATCTTCAGTGACTCGTTGTAGGAGCTTAATTCAAGCGGATCGAACAACGACGATGAAGATTCCATTGCTTTTCGCGCCGCCTTAGTTATCTTCCATTCTCTCTTATCAGCAGTTACCATTTTACAAGAATACGCTTCCAATCTATTATTAATTAATTTAAAAAAAAACTAAATCTTGCATACTGACACTGAAATTAGTTAAAATTCTTCCGCCTCCAGCGTAGTAATCGACTAATCAAATAAACGTAGAACTTATACCTTTAATATAACCATTTAATGTCGATATTTATAAGTTATATAGGAGTCATAAATAAATAATAGTGATAGAGAAGTGACAACTATCATAATAACGTTTATAAAAAATAATGATAAAAGTACAATGATAACAGCAAATAAACAACAACAATAATAATAATAATAATAATAATAATAATAATAATAATAATGACGGCAATGGTAACAATAAAAAATATTAGTGAATAATAATAATAAATACTAATAATAATAATGGTGAATGAGTGAATGATAATAACGATAAAATAAGTAAATAATAAAATTAAAAATGGAAATAAAGAGGGAACTGAACCTGACATCGAGAAATTCGGAACGTTCACGAATTTCGCTAGTAATTCGGTCCAATTTTATTGTATCCAAATATTTCATTCTTCTTCTACTGAAATTATTATTAAAATAAAGCAAAATATTGAGACGAAATTAAATGCACCACCAGGGATAATAATAATAATAATTACGTTACGAATAAACTTTCCCTCTCATTTAATAGACTAAAAGAGAATTTCCGCCCGAGGCTGCCAATTAGTATTTAGGCTTTCGCGTTGATTCGCTTCAGAGCAAAACTGATTTATTTTTAGACATAGTTGGTGCGATTTAGGTGGCGTCGATCGGTCCGATTTAGGCTAGGTTGATTTGTTTATTGGAACTATACTGACTGGTTCTTGCAAAAGTAGCAGTCTGGTAGATTGTAGCGGAAATTTAAGAAATTCTCTTCTCTTTCCTTCTCTCTCTCTCCTCTAAAAATTCTAATAAATTTAGTTGCTCTATTAACTTATAATAATTTTAAACCTCAAATTTAACAAAAAATAAAAAAATGTGATTACTGTCTGGATTGCTAAATTTTAATCAGCCAATACTTCGTGCTGGATATTCGCCTCTGAAAAACGACAAGCGTCGATGTTCGAGACGGCGATCCGGGAGTGCGGCGTTTTTGCATGGAGCATCCGAACGAGTCTCGCAGCCTAAAATCCCCTTAAAACAAGAAATGCAATACACTCGACGACTATATATAATGCAAGCCGATGCAAATACATGCAAATCGCACATCTTTTCTTTTGTAAAAGCCATCGTGGACACAAAAACGAAAACGAAAATAGCATTGGAAATGGAAAATAAATTATCGGCTGCCGTCGATCGTCAATTATCGTCGCCTCGCGAATTGTACTTCGAAACATGCGATCCGTTTAAATTTTAGATATTTTTGATTTTCCGACTTTTTGAAATCCATCAAAGCGGAAAAAGGTCGTCGTCAATAATTGAATCGGTAACTGTTAATTGAATCTTTGAATTTCTTATTGAATCTTATCGGTAACTATTAAATCAGTTACCAGTATAATTTTCCAAATAATTATTTGAAATTTGCTTACACAATTCTCCATAAGATAACGGAGCTGAAACGGTGCGAGCTGTCGCGAGAAGAACCTCAACCAGTAACGGTGAGAGAGAGCTGTCGCGAGAAGCATAAAAAAGCCCACCATCCACTATTATTATCGCATGATAAGCAAAAATGCACACTTAATGCACACGCAAATCTGCACATCTGCAACGTACAATTATCCACCATCGTTTACTTTATATTATATTTGTAATTATATAGTGAAATGGTGAAGTTGTCATTAAAGAAAAATAAAAATGAATGAAATTTCGACAAACTGATCTGTCAATTTTATTTATTTAATACAAGCAGTTCACAGTAACACTGACATTGATTAAATAAATTCTAAGAATATCTAATTTATTAATCGATTAAAAAAAATGAGATTCAATTCCTAAAGATGATCGATAGTTGTCATTAAGCATATACAAAATGCTTCTCGTTATTTACGGAATAAACCAATTTTAAACAAATAATATTTTATAAAAATCATATAAAGCATGCACCTCAACAAAAGTGCAAAGTTCCTCTGCCTGAACAAAAATTTTATCCTTTCTGAATTAAAATTTGAAAATATTTTTATTAATTTATTGCTATTTGAAATTTTTCAAGCGTAGTAGATAGTTGGCTTCTCATTGGTTACAATTCAAATGGCCTAGAAAATGATATGGAAATATATTTTTCGAAATAAAAACCAATTAACGAGTTGAATTCCAAATTTTGATGAATATCTGCATAAATATCGGTCTTTGTGCATTTATATACATTATAATTAAACAAAAAAATTCAATACTATTCAAAATTCAAAAAAGTAATTCAGTATTATAATCAAAAAAATATAATTCTAAAAGAAGTTAAATGACAGTTAAAAGCTAAAAAAATCTGCCAATTTAGCACCATCAGTAGATACAATCCGGAAAGAAAACCAATATGTAATATGTACATAATTCATTAAGAAATTATAACTCCAGAAAAACGCTAACGCTGTGAAAGATCATCTATATAAAGGCATTGAGAGAAGATTCAAAATGAATAATCCGCTCTAAAGAATTAATTTGTAAGTTCTCTCCCATATTTTAATCAAAATACCACAGATTATTGAAGAACATTGCCTATGAAGTCATCGATATCTTTTTGATTCGTACAGTGCGCCTGCAAAATATTTGTTTAAATTAATTTTTAACCTTTAATACTATTTTCAAAATTTCTATAACCAAATTTCATCACTATTGGCTTTATGAGATGAATTACAATAAAGTTTAAAACGAATTTTATAAAATAAATTACAGAACTCATATTTCCATATATTTCCTGCACTAGTACCAAAGATAAAAAGGAAATAAAATATGTGAGTAAGCGAAAAATAAAAACAACAAAATTCTCCATAAAGCTGACCACCACCCATATATTATAACTCGAAAAAATGATGAAAAAATAATAAATAATAAATAAAAAATAATGCGAAACATACATTTCTATCATACCACCTCTGCCATCTGTCAATAGACAATTTATAATTAGAAAACTTGCGACACCATTCTCGATATGTTGACTGGAACTGGGCTAAGGTAGTCGGCTGTGCACATTCTGCTAAAATGATTCCTACTAATTCTAACGTTATTCAACGGTAAGAAACAAAAAAAGTTTTTAAAGTTTTTCATTTAAAATTAACTGTAAGCTATGAGTATATCTCCACAAATTTTCTGCTCCAGGCGATGGATAAATGAAAAAACAAACTTTCGTCGATTTCAATATCGTATAAAACAACTACATCATCGTTGGAAGAGCATTCATAAACTCCATTATCCAAGCTGGAAACCTTAAAATACTCGTCGAACAACACATTAAAAACTTTTCGATAAAGTTCTATGAAATTAATTTTACTAATGATATCTTAATACAATTTTTTCAAATTTAAAGTAAAATGAATGACAACATTCATTATTTGTAAAATTTCATCACTGTACTTAAAAAATAAACTAACATTGAAAAGAACCATACCACCTGCCATAGTAAAAACTTTTTGCGTTGAAGACTGAATTATTTCATCGTTGAATTTCCATAATGTAGGCAATGAATCACAAATAAGATGGAGTGCATCACCTTGATATGCTTTCATTGAAATTCGCTTAATGCTAGCAGCACATTTGTTATTATCTTCAGGACCAACGCTCACCCACCTTAAAGAGCGAAAAATATATTATTTTGGTTTAAAAAGAGTAAAAGGCATAATCAGGGATAATCCGAAAAAGAGACTATTTTTTCACAAAATCATTTTATGATTTGCAGCCAGCATTTTATGCTTCAAAACAAAAATTTCAAAAAAATTCGAAAATAAATAATTCAATTTAAAAATTTAATACTAATCAACGGAATCAAAAGAAATATGAGAAATTTTTATTATTTTAACCCTATAGCCGAACTATGATCGGTGTTGCGTTTATAGCAAAGCGAACGAGCAGAATTCCAGGAGCAATAAGGATCAATTGCACATTTGGCGCAAGTTGTATAGCTTTTGCATTGTGCAAGCGAATACTGTGACACCATTTGTTCATCGGAAAAGTATAAAAATTCCCCTGGTAATATTGTTATAGAAAAAGCCGGCAATGGAGTTGAAAGAGAATAGGTAATCAAGAGCTTCGATCGTGGTTCCGTAATTCCATTCCAGTGAATAAATTTATGTAACGTTCGTGAACTGAAAGTTAATTGATAGTTTTCGTTATTTCTTCAATTTATCAAAAAATATATCAATGATTACGAAATAAAAATACAGGAAAATAGGCAAATTACTTACTGATGAGAATAAACAAAAACAACATAGATTGAATCACCAACAACATCGACCACAATATGAGTAAAAAGTTCATTTGGCAAAGCCAGAAGTGTTGCACCAGAAACCGCATCTGCCATCAAAAGATGAGATTTGGCAAAATGAAGGTCACCGTCAGGGATATCTGCCGAATTTGGCGAACACTATAATAAATGTGTTAAATATTTTAAATGATCGAAAGTCTATAAAAAACGTGATGTCAATAAAACTAACGCTGCCTGGACGATAAACAGGAATGTCTTCGGGAGCTGTTATTGTCCAGCTACTACTCGAAGTCGATATTTCCATAAAAACGCCTTGATCAAAAAGCTAAAAATAGATATAAATCGTACCACACCTGAATGAACTACATCATAAATGCAAAAGAATATTTTGCCCGATATATTTAAAAAATTGATTTTACAATAAAATGGAAAAGGTTAAGAAGATAAACCAATAAATTTGATATAATTAATTTTATAAAATTTAGTTGGACAGTTTGAAATATTAATTTAATAATTTAAAGCTATGAAAAGAAATTTTAAAATAATAAAACCTACCTGATTGATGGCATTCAGTGAGAAAATACAAACAGCGCTACCACCAAAAAGAATATCAGAAGCAGTTAAAGTGGCATAAATAAGAGTATCTGATGAATCTTCCACTGAATAAACGGATTCTGAAATTTAATCCATTAGTTGAATTAAATGTTCTATTCCAGTGTAAAATATGGAAAAACTAAATATACTTATTAAACATCTCTAGATGAAAAAAATTAAGGAACTAATGAATTAACTAACCAAAATATTAGTCCATACTGGCTTAATGTTTTCCGATAATATTAAAACGAAAATAATATAATAAAAGCATTTGATCTAGGAAAGAGGTAAATAAATGTTCATTAATATTTTATAAGTTACATACGAATATGATCGAAGTAAAATGGGAATTGAGAAGGAATCGAGCAATTCAATCGAGCCTTTACGAAGCTAGTCCAAACTTGCCTCAGAACAATTTTTCCACCCACATCCATCTGCAACAAATATTTTCAATAGACCCAAATTAAAAAATGTTTTCTTAAAGAGATCAATTAAATATTTTAAGTTATTTAAGTTACTTATATCAAAATTTTTGAAAGTCTCCGAGTTTTTTAAGGAATAAAAAAATTTAATTTATGAAGTTCTTTTTCTTCTTCTAACAGCTTTCACCATTACTGGTTAGGCTGGCTCCGATATATTTATAAAAAAGGGTTAGGCTAGCTACAAGGATCAAGGTCTTTAAGCTCCTCTTCTGAGTTATGTGGCTTTTCATGCAGTTATTAATAAATCGGCAACCCAGGTATTTCCTTAGCTTTTTATGTGCTTGCAATTTTTTCAAACCATTCTTTTTCGCCATGGGATGAAATTCGTTCATTTTCTTATGCAATATTTTTAATCCTCATATACGCCACATTACACCATTTGATGAAATAAAATAAACAATGTCGCCATCGCTAGTAGTAATAGAAGCCATTTCTTTTTTCATCGTCCAAGTTCATATCGCTGATCTCATACATTCAAAATCTATACGTTCAAAATCTTTCCTGACTGTATCAGTCCAAGTCTTGATTGGCCCATCTCGCTTTTGACGCCATCCATCACACGATTTAGCAAATAACAAAATAAGCGACAACCCTTGTGGTGGAGAACGTGCCCTAACCACCGACGCTCTGTGATAACATTATTAATGCAGATGGTACTTAAGTGAAGGTGGATACAATCATGTGCAATTTTATCCGCTCGACGAATCCGTAAAATGTACCTTGGATGTGAGTGGTCGAAGGCTGATGGCCTTCTTAATATCTTCCACTCTCACTGGCCATGTTCCATGCAACCATATAGCAAGATGGAGCGAATTAAGCAGCTATATGGACGAGGATTTTCGTCTTCATGGTGATTTCGACGCTTCCATAGAGATTTAATCAATCGAAAAAACGCATTTCTAGTTGTCGTTATCCGAGTTAAAAATTCATCCTTTGCCTGGCCACTTAGGACAAGAGTGGATCCAAGTGTATTTAAAGTTAAGTACAAACACTTCGGCAATGTATTGATAAATAGGTATTTTATCAGCACCTTATATATAAAACAAAAACATTTTCGTTTTATTCACATTGTTTTTGAGTCCAATTCTCGCCACATTTGCTGATTTCTGAAGTCATTACAAATTTTTAAAAAAAATTCATTATATTGTATAATTAAATATTAACCTTGCAAAGCCTTGCAACGCGCGAATAAATTACACGATCATAATTGCCATGTTCAAGAGCGACCTCACGAAAAAAGAAATAAACATAGTTACCCGAACTCAATGATGCAACAAACTGGGGTTCTACAATTAAATGCAACAATATCAGAGATTTTTTATGCAGTTCAATAAAAATATGAATAAACTAGCTAGTAATTCGATCGAAAAATCTTGGAAACGTCAAATTATTCAGTAAGAAACAATAATATTAATTAGCACAATTATAAATTGTAAAAATTTAAACTTAATTAGTCAAAATCGCAAGCCATTAAATAAAATATAAAATACTTTCAATAAGAAAATTAATACCATTCAGCCACTTTGAATCGGTGTAAATGGTTCGAACAGATGAATATATTTCCTTATTATCCAACATAAGAGGAGGTCGATATATTAAATGATTATCAAGCGACAAGCCAGTTCGAATACCCGAATAGAAAGATGGAATATTACCAGGGTTACCCCACTCTGAACAAAAAAAAGTCGATTAATTAATAGAAAGAAAAGTCATCTAATTTAATTCTAATGTTTTTATTTCAACAAATTTTATAATAATGGTATTACTTTAACAATAATTTTAAAATTGCATCTACTGATAAAACTGAATTTATTCCTTGGTGATTTCCTAGCAAGAAAAACTGTAAACAATCACCGACATATATCGCAGTAGTATTCATATGCGGGTCAGGCGAACAAATACCGATAACATTTTCTGGGAATGTGCGTTGCTGGAGCGCTTTAGCGTCGAATTCATGTAACTGTGGCTTAATTGCATTGGAAGAACAAACGAGTAAAGTCTGACGATCTTCCGTTAAAAATAATAAACGAATTCCATTTACACATTCGATGTGACCCATCTGACGGCATTCTTCATTAACTCTGTCAGACACAGATAATTCCACACGCGCATACTGAAATAGCGAAATGAAGTACTTAAAGTGTTACCGTTTGTAATTATTTATAATTGTAAATATTTGACTTAAAAAGTGCCATTAATTGAAACATTTAAAAGCACAATAGAAAAAAATCTATATAGAAAATCACCAATCCATCGATTGTCTCATTGATATTATAAGCCCACAATTTGAATAAATTGCCATTTGCTCCTACATAGAGTGATGCAGATTTCGGATCAAGGAGCATTTTTCGATAAGATAAATTGCCTTGGGAAAAGACATTATCTAAAAAACAAAAAACCATTCATAAAAATCAACAAAATTCTTATCTAACGAATTAGAAATTAATTAATTCTTTGATCTCTTTAAAGCGTTGTTTCTTAAAATCTATTGCTTCCCCGAGTTTGGCCTACCGATCCCTTGGAACCTTTTCAGGAAGTTCCCGGAGTCAAAACTGTTTTCACAATGATGCTAAGATGTAATCTGCTTTTTTCTTTTTATTAAGCCAGGCAATCAGAAAATAAAATTCATAAAAATTTAGTAAAACAATGGCAACTTTTTCATAAAATTCTGCAAAATTTCTTATCATCTTTCACAAAACTAAAACGTGCTTTTTGCACTTTCAATGGTTTGATATTTTAAAAAAATTCGTATTTAATTTCAAATATGGCCTTTCACAAATAGAAACTCCATGGGGGTCCCGAACAATTTTGAAAATCTTAATACCTACAAAGCTACCTCCATACATAATTCCACAGAGAAACATAAAGAACAAACAAAAGCAGTAACATAAAATAATAAGTAAAAATAATAAGAAAAAAATTTACCTGGAATAATTGCAGGCAATGCGTATATGATAATAAAATAATTAAGAATATATAGAAAATGCATTAAGAAATAAATTTTAAATTTTATACAAAATAACAAATCTCAAATTAAGAAATTTCAAGTGAGCACACAAGCGTTTTGGATGTAAAACGCTTCGCATGGACAATTGAATTAGTTGCGTTAATGTCCCATATGACCACCGATATATTCTTCCGTTTGCACTACTTTATTCCAATATTTTGGCATATTCCTATAAAAAAATTATTTTACTTAAAATAATTCCATATCTTCATTCGTACCATTCGATCCTATTGTTCCAAAGAATATAAAACGATCTCTACATCTGTCATCTCCAGCTGCATTGTTTTCATTTATCGCCATCAGTTCACTTATTCGCATATTTCATTGGATTTCTGGTCAAATTTCTTCGAGGAAACAAATATATAATCAGAAAGATTAATTCAAATTTCCATGCAAATCGAATCATTCTCTAGAGTATTATCTCGCTTATAATTTTAAAAATATTTAAATATATATAAAAATTAGAAAGACAAACGGAAATCTCTTTTATGAATATTCTATTCTTTCGATCTTTTAATTAAATTATATGTATATATATATATGAAATGAGCAAATAAATTCAGGAAATATAAAACTTTTAAAATTATATAATGGAGGAATATATCAATATTACTTACAATTTTCAACAGATTTTCAACAGAAATACTACGAAATAGCAAAAATACTACGATTTCGATAAAGAAATTAAATGAGTGATAAGTAAAGATAATAATAAAATCGCGCAATGTCATAAAATAAACTAAAATCTCAAAAGGAAGTGAATATTTCAACAAACAAGCTAAAAATAAAGCGGCAATCAACATAATAAATAGATGTCATCACAAAATAAAACCATTTAACTGCCAAGCAATGCAACTGTTGCAGAAATCTTTTTTTACAGCCGTTTTATGAATTTCATCATCGTTTCTTATGAAGTGAATATAACTTAGGAATTTGAGATATTAAATGAGTAACAACAGTTATTTTTATCCAAAGACTTGAAATATTATAAAATATAAAATAATTATTTCACCTATTAATAGGACAATCACGAATAACAAAACGAAGAACATTAAGAATGTGAAATCGAACTCAGCATATGACCGGATAAACCAAGGCTCTGTTAATGATTGATCTGTATATTCCTTGAACACTGTAAAGTCGACTGAAGAACACCCTGAAGTTCATAAATCCATGAAACAAAATAAAAATATAACGAAAAACGAAAATAAAAATATACAAAGAAATTAATCAAAATAATGAAAAAGTAGATATACATTATTGTCACAATTGGTTATAGAATTTGGCACTGAGTTTAATATTTGCTCCAAGGCAACTTTATCATCAATTGTATTCATTTCAACGAGGTCGAATAGATTTGGCTTCGCCTCGAATTCTTCTAAGGAATCCACAATTTCGGTAGTTTTTTCCAACTTCTTCTATAAATAAGGAAAATTTCTCTCTAGGAAAATTTTAAATTCAATTCATTTCAATTCATTTCAATATTAGAAAGATTTATGTGGCATATAAATATAAGTATAAACATATTTATAAATATATATATATATATATATAAACAAAGAGATTTCGAAAATTTCAAAAAATTTGATCTGGGACCATCAAAAAAAATAAAAATAACTTACAATATTTGAAAGACTTGCAAGGCTTGGCTGCAAAATTTCGTCTGGTTTTAATTTATTTAGAGAATAATTTGTTGAAGAAGGAGCTTTGGCTAAGCCAGCCACCCTACCTATCTGTGAGCAATTTTTAAGTAAGGACTTTGATCCAATATCATGCTCACTTTTCTTCCTATTTTGACAGTTTTCTTCGTAATCGTTTACAGCCTTCCTTTCATTCGCAAATCCATACTGAAAAGAATAAAAACTGCAGAATTTCTATTTTTCTCTTTTTTCAAATAAAATATATTATGAACTGCACTACATTCGATATTATACTCTTTAGATTAAAAAATCTCATCCCATAAAAATGGTATGAATTTATGAAGCACTTTAGATTATCGGATTTTCAGTGAACACATATGTAAAAAATAAAAGAGATAATTGAAATTGGCTCAAAATTTTTTTACAATTAATACCATATAAAGCAAAAATTTACAGAAAAAACCTGAGTAATATTAGGCCGATGAATGGACAAATCAGGAATGATAACGATTGGCAACGGATAAAACTGTAATCCGATATCCATGAAAACATCACTGATCAAGTCTAAAAATTCAAAAAAAAAAGAAGTAAATATTCAGCTTTATGGTGAATAATGAATGATGAATTTTCTAGTTTGAAAACAACTATTTGAATACTTATCTGTAATCTTTTAAAGTAGTCTTTCAAACGTGCAATTCAAAGTTCCAGAAATTAGGCTTTTTGAAATGAATTTTTTTTAGGCAATTGAAGACAAAAATACCTTAAGCGAAAACTCCAATAGAAATAAAAGAAAGGAATTTTTTTCTATTTTTTTTTATAGTTTTTACTTCAGTCAGTTTAACAGTTTAATAGATTCATAACAAATTGTTTAAGGTGAACGAATAATTTTGACACTTTGCATTCAGAAAAAATTTTTGATATGTCGCTAACATTTTCGAATTCGCACAGCAAAATATAAAATTTCAAAATAAATATAAAATATAAATTAATATATTAATTTTCGTAAAATAATTTAATAAAAAGGAATTTCTAAAAATATCCACATGTTAGTTACCTGTGTTTATCAATATTAACAAGTTGTTAGCTTAAGATTTGCCTGATAAATTTTCGAAATAAGTAATAAAAAATAAAAAAGCTTTACCTTGTAAACGACTGGAAGACATCAAATGTACTAATAAAAAACATTAAAAACTGAAATCGACAAAACCAGAGCTTCTCTAAACCGTATTTTGTAAAAAATAGGCGAAAATATATTCAGCGATATCTACTGAATGAACGGAATCAGATTAAGCAGCGAACCCCTGGCGCAACCAACATGGAAGAGACATAAGAGTCAACACATTCACCGTATTCAGACGTTCGTTTCAAGACCTGCTTCCTCAACGAACACTCCGTCCTATACCAATCCAAATAATTACTTCCGCCTCCTCACTTAGCTACTGGACAAAACAAGTAGTAAAAATAAATTTTTATCTGTACAAAATTATAAAAATATCAGGCAAACCACAAGTCAAAAATGAACAAATCAAAATCGAAAAATGAATGACAATAAGATAACAAAACAAAATAAAGCAAATAGGTTCGAAACACGTAAAAAACCTTTGATCCGTTTAACCATCGCTACAATTCGATCGGCAACCAATTTTTTCCATATATAAAATTTTTTTAAACATTTCTTGTTGTAGCTCCACTGGCTTATCGGACAAAGGCAGCCATTTTTATGCGATTAGCCGAGATTTTACCGATAATTTTACAAGAAAGGCATTTTAAAAGAGTACACATAAGCTGACCAACTCGATTTTTGAAAGAGCAGATACTTTGCATCGATGCTCCAAAATGAAAGTTAAGCCCACTGAGCCACTCTATTCCCCATAAATAAAATATTGAAATTAAAAAAAAATTAAAAAAAATTAAAATTTTCGATCTCAGGAAAAATTTGCAATTAATAATAAATTACGAATGAAATTCCAACTAATCGAATAAAACAATCACAAAAAAAACAAAAAATATTTTTTTTTAAGAATTACTTACAAAACAAAAAAACTACAATTATTTAACAAAGATATTACGCAGATCATCAGCTTCGATAAGGGAGAAACCATTCGCCTTATCAGCTAATTCCAGTAATCTCAGCATACTCATTCGGTCACTAACATTAATAAATACGAAGCTAACCAAACCATAATCGTTTATAATGCTGCATATTGATTCATTGAAATTTCTATATCGTTTTAATATATCATTTTCCTGTAATTGAATATTTGTTATAAATTATAGAAAAATAAGAGAGAAAAAAAACTATAAATGAAAAAAAAAATTTAGCAAAACCAGAATTTTATAAAAAAATTTTTTATAAATTCTTACATTAAGCCAAAATTTTAATTCATTTCAGTTATTTGTTGATAATTTTTTATGGTAAAATCATATCACATATGTTAAAAACTTTTGAAAATATCAGTTTATATATCAAAACCCTAAATGACTCAAAAAAATTAAAAGAAAATTTTCAACAAACATCTAATAATTCTGCGATTCGTCTTGCATCAGGTATATTTTGGAAAAATTCCAAGCCGTATGGGAGATCGTCATTAATAAGATCCATTTTAGATAGAACATTTATTTGTGTAATCTCCAAATTGATCATCACAGATAGCGCACTTAGTAGAACTGAGATAAATTTACCAGGATCTGAGCAATATAAACTGTCGCTGAGATGTATAGCAACAAATCGATGCCCCCAGCTTTGCATCTGAAAAAAATTTAATGAATAAAACGACTGATCCTATGAAAATGAGGCATTTATTAAGAGATTATATAATTGGTTATGAAATACTTAAGATAATATAAATAATCTTAAAAGAAATTATCAATAGGTTACCGAATAAAAAAACCGCACTTTGAGATTGGGGCAGCATTTCTTTGCAAAACCACATATATACAAATAATATAAGTATTACATAGATATAAAAATACTACGACAAAGAATAATAAATAATAAAAAAAAATGTTCGAAGATACAATGAAATTTCTAAAATGAAAAATAAAAGCGAACAAACGATTTCTTACAGTACCTATACTACACTATGCAATAGCACCATATGAAGCAAATCCCAATTTTAAATTTATACCAACATAATAACACATTATCATTAACTGGTGAATAATTTAGCACTTTAATAATTCAAATCTAAACATTTACATATTTCTTGGTACCGCAAAAATGGATTGAATATTAATTCTCTGCTTAAAATATTGGAATTATGATTCACCTCTTAAATAGAATATTTAAATTTAGAAACTGTAAATATTAGATAAATGAAAAATGAAAATATTCAAAAAAAAGGATTTTAGCTAACAAAAAGGATAAAAAAATAATTTCACTCAATATATCCCTCGAAGACTTTTAAATAAATTCTTCTTATGACCAAAAATTTTTTTTTTCATTAATAATTACTTATATATCTTCCGTGGAAATATGCATATTAATAAAAACTCATTTAATCCAATCAAATTCAAATCAAACATTCCCGCAAAATTCTAATTAAAGTTTTTATCAACCATATTCAATTTTTTGAACTATTCAAAAATTCATTTTCTATATTGTCCTTTCGACAAATTTAATGCAGTTTAAAAAAAACAAATTATTTCTTATTTTCATGCCACTTCAATTTACTTTTTAAGCAAAATATTAAAAATAAAAAGGAGAAAAAGCTTCTTTTCAGAAAAAATAAGAAAAAATTACCTGTGAAATAATTTCAGTAATGCATTCATCACTATTATACAATTCAAGTTGACCAGGAAAATCGAAAATTAAATAGCCATCAAATTTTGAAATTTTCTCCTCAAGCCATCCTATATTCGCTCGCAATGTTCTCATGCAATATCTGTAAAAAAATTTCATTGTTACTTAATTTCACTGTCATTTTAATAGTATCAAATAAAACTCCTTTACAGTAAACCGTTCTCAATAGTTGCATATATCAACTCATAAAAACTATATTAAAAACAAAAAATAATATTTTAATATCATAATTTTATAATAATATCAGTGTTAAATAATATTTGAAATGAATAAATAATTAAAATATATAAAAAAAATATAACAAGAATAATGAATAATGCTAATAAAAATAAAAATCAACAAATAAAAGCAACGAATAACTTTTGCAGAAAAAAACTGGCAACTATAATATTAAAATGTGACGGATAATTTACTGGTGCTTTATTAAAATGGAAAATAAAAATTCATCTAAAAATTAAATACTGATACGAAAATGAAGAAAAAATTTGAAAATTTTTGGAGAAAAGAAATTCCAAATATCCGCTAACGAATATCACCAATACCATTACCAGACATTACAAAACATTCTGACTGCATGTTTTTTTCTGTTTCCTTTTCTTTATCTTTTCTATCCATTGTTCACGTCTCGCATCACTTAGCTGCACATCTGAGATGGTTCCCTACTTGGTAAATATAAGGCATAATTTACGGACAAATCTCAGAATACCATCCACAACATCGTCATAGAGCTACGCTTACGCTGGCTCGACCATGTTCTTCGCTGTCCATAGCAGGCATTGAGCCATAATTTGCTACTTGCTAAGTCCTATGATGATTCGAGTCAAAAGAGAGGAGGGTCAATCAAACCCTGGATGGCGACGGTCAGAAGAAATTTTAAATGGCCAGCCCAGCGACATACGGACTTTGTTGGTGAAAAATGAAGTGACTTCAGTAAATGACATCGGATTGAGTGGCTTGGAAATTACCTACCTTAGCCAGCGACCTAAACAGCAATGGTGTTAATAAAAGAAGAAACACGAAAGCACCTTAAAGCACCGTTTGGTCCAAGCTTCAAACGAGACATAACTTCTTCAACAGTAATCAATTCACGAATATCGACACTACACTCGTATGGAATTGTGTCGTTTGCTGGGTCGAGATTTACACAGATAACGTTGCGTTTTAAGGAACGTAAAATCTGCGAAATACCACTGCAATAGGTCGATTTGCCAGCACCTGGCGCACCAATCACAATTTGCCCGTACATTTATATTCAGCTATTTGCACACAAAAAGTCTAAAATTCACTTTATTAAATAAAATTATTTAGAATTTAAAGAAAACGCTTATTTGGATAAAATGCTCTCACATGATGATTTATTAACCTAAATTTCTTACAAAACTTTTCCATTAAGCATTTGAGTACTTTATAAATCAAAAACTTTATCCAAAGAGAGGGCCCAAGGTGAATAGAAATGGCCCAGGAAGGGGTCCGCAAGCTTCACGCCACATGTACGCACACTCCTTTCAAAAATGGCATCAACCATACACGACGATATACAAAGATGAGAATTCAGCAACTTTTCTTACAAATAAATAAACACAAGAAGAGTGCAGCCGAAGCTGCGTCTGAAGCCGTCATTGTATTTTAGTAACATCATTATCAGATGGTTTATTTGCAAGTGTAATTTGGAGAATGAATTAATCATCGGTTTTCCTTTTTATCAGTGTTTGCATGTGATTATCATTTGGTCTGAAAAAGGTCATAGAAGGGGGTCAAAGGTCAGGGCTTGGCCCGTTTTGTTTTCTTAGATGACACTGCATGTGGAAAGATTAAAAAAATTTTGCTCATAAAATTTCCAGCCATGAACTAAATAAAATTCTTAGGTTTCTTTTTTCTTCACAGTTGAATTTCTTATGCAGTTGAGTTTTGCCGAGATGCTCTCATTGGTTTCAATAAGGTAATATAAAGTTATTTCAACTCTAATTTGAATAATTTGCAACAATTAATGATAAATTTGCTGAGGGAAAAGAGTTGATTAAATTACTGCATTCAGCATAATGTTTATTGTTATGAAACGAATGCTAATAAGGCTAATATGTGCAGTTTTATTTCGAGTAATGATTTGCTGTGCGTGCGGAAAAAAACCCACCAAAATCTGCCATGCTCACGAATCTTCGCACTCGTCTACCCTCCAGAATGCTTTCATTTCCTCTTCTCCACTGCCACTGTTATTTTTTACGTCACATCCTCTTAAAGCTCTTGTAACCACTTTTCAGAGTCTGCTGCACCTTCTTCTTGGAGTCTTCCATACTTTTCCAACGATCCTCGGAATTCCTCTTGCCATAATTCCTTTATAACGCTATTTAAACTTTTTTTGCTTAAACTTGAACCTCACATCTAGCAGCAGCTAAACCGGCCACTCCCATTTGATTCCCTTAACCATCCGTCTAGCCTCGCTGTAATCTTTTGTTGCAGCCGGAGTCACAGGCAAAGGATAATGCGCAGTTGACAGTGATTATCGTGGAAGTATAGAGGGGATTGGAGAGTGTAACGAAGCGAATTAATCAAAAAGCAAATTTCCTTCGCTGCAAAAATAAAAATAAAATTAACTGTAAAAGGGTGAATGAAATCGAGAGTTAATGGCGGAAAAAATATTAATGAATATGAAGAGTAGAAAAGGAATGGTACTAAAATTCAGAATCAGTATTCTGAATACTGCATATTACTCATTCCGTATGCAGTCTCACATACTCTTATATATTCTTGGAAGGATGGAAATCTAATGCCCGTGATTTACAAGAGAGAAGATAGACGAAAGGTAGATTTACAAGAAAGAAGATAGACGAAAGGTAGATTTACAAGAGAGAAGATAGATGAAAGGTTGTGATGAGGAATCGAAGGCAAAAAAAGTATTATATCGTTTTATTCCGTAATAAAAATCTAATTCGTGAGTTATGAGGGAGAATTGTAATACCGAAGCGTTCAAATGGATGCTACAAATTTTTAAGGGATGTCAAGTGGTGTCCTACAATTTAAAGGCAATCCTGTTCCATCGAATACAATTTGAATGTTTCCAGTTCTTTTTCCGTGGTTTTGGCTTGCTTTCAAGAGTTACATATCGGACTCCTGCAAATTCTTGTTCAACTTCTCGCTACCAAATGCTGTCAGTATAATCGAGTACTTTGTGGCCAAATACGTTAATACAATTACGTGTCATTTTATGGTTAAAGTATGCTTTTAAATGTATTTCTGCTTCGTTTAATCCATTCAATTTTTAGGAAATATTTAAATTTTTCGAAATTAAATAAAAATTCTAAAATTTTTATTCGTTTTAGGTGAAAATAATAAATAAATACTAAAAATTTGGCAGTGAAAGATTAATAAATAAAAAGTTTCAATGTCACTCGGAAGCAATGAAAGAATTGATGATTACTATCTTGATTGCGATGCTTCGGATAATTCATCGTCATATTCAGCTAATGAAGATGATGAGGAAGAAATTGTTTGTGATGATGATGATGGAATTGTTATTGAAACACAAAACGTTAGGAATAGTCGGTCAGAAGTCGACGTCGATTATGAGGTTATTTCATTTTTTGGTTTTATGAGGCGAATTATAATAGAACGACATTCTACCTGGTATTCTTCTTTTTTTAATGTAGCTGTGGGTTTAGGTTAAAAAATTGACTTCAAACCTTAGCTTAGGCTGCTTGTAATTTCGAGTTCTACTGATAATTCTCTACTCTTTTCCTCTCTGAGAATAGATTTACTTAAACCTGCTAATGAAGATAGTAATCACAGCTTTATTTTTTTCGCTATTGTTGTGCAGTAGAAACTCCTCTTTTATATTTTTATGTTTTTATTTTTACATCGTTTTTATATCGTATAACGCCTGTTGTTATCCAAAACGTACATGTAAAATATATGTTTTATATGTGAAATATTGCTAAAAAATAAGAGTCTAATTTATATTTTTTATTACTGTCAGCCGTATTCCTCCTACCCAGTAGGTCATTTCACCCACAATGGATAAAATTGTAAAATTCGGTTCTGTTATTCGGAAAGAAGAAGTGATTCGAATCTTGCTGGTTCTTCTTTAAATGTGGATTTTCCAATTTTTTCTGTTTGATATAATGTCCATGCCTAACCACTATCCTCTTGATTTTTCATGAAATTAATGAGTCTGCTGATTGGCTGCATATCGTCCTAATAGATAACAATTTTCATTTGGTGCTTTCATCAGAAATAATCTTTATCCACTCCAAAGTTCTCCTTTTGAATTAGCAAGTATGAAAGCTGGCTTTGTTCAGTTTCATGAATTTCGAGGTAAATAAATAAATGAGGTTATGACAGGTATAAGTCTCTTAGACATAGAAAAAAGGCTATTTTGCACTTATTGATTTGAAAATCTTTTGCATCGGAATCTGAGTATCCTGTGACTCCAAACTGAAAAAAAAAAGATTGTGGAAACGCGGTTAACATTTGAGACATATCTTTATAGATGCATAGCCTTCTCGACCATTTTGAGATGTTGAATTTGTTTTCGTGGAATAAAAATATCCGAAATATTCTGACATTGTCTATTTATAGGTTTTAGACGTAGATCAAGTGAAACATGAAATGGATATTGCAATAAATGATGTTGCTGCCATTATACATTACCCTCGTACTATTTGTCGTCTCTTACTCCATCATCATAAGTGGAATAAGGATAGTTTGCTTGAACAGTATGTTTTCATCTAATTTTCCTATGAGCAATTAAAATGAATAAAATTGCATAAAATTGGTAGAAGCTTATTGGAATAATTTCATTATAGGAAAAATTTTATTATCACGTGTGAAAAACAAGTATTTATGAGAAAATGAAATCCAAGAAAACTTTAAAACTTTTACAAATTTTGCATAAAAGGTATTTGGTGCTTAACCAATCGAATAAATCAGCTGCCATCTTATTTTATATTATTACTATTTCTTGCTATATATAACCAGGGATATTTTATGTTTGTATCCCTACTTTACGGAATTAATATGGAATACGGAATTTTCCTTTTAGATTTTTTGAGGATACAAATACAGAAGAATTTTTCCGAAAAGCAAATATTTATTATGAATCTGGTTCGTTTCCTCGCAAAGAAAGTTTGCGAGATACGGTCGAAATGTGTGAAATCTGTTGTAATTGTTCAATTTTGACTGGTCTTGAATGTGATCATAAGTTCTGCATGAATTGTTGGGATGCTTATTTGTCTAGCAGAGTAAATTTATTTCTAAAAATAGTTTTTTTTTTTTTTTTTAAATTTAAGCAGTTCTTGATTTCTTTTCATTTCTGTGTAATTTTCTCTTCGATTGAACTTTTAAAGTGATATTCTTTAAGAATAAGAAAATTGATATATAAAAATTGATTTAATGAATATTAAAAACATTTTCTTATCTTTTAAGTTGAATATGTCATTCTTTCTTCCAGATAATGAATGATGGTCATGCATATATTCCATGTCCTCAACAAGGATGTTCAGTAATAGCCGATGACGAAAAAACATTGGCACTCATAAAAAAAGAGGAAGTAAGGAAGAGCTATCGACACCATATAATAAGTAGTTTTGTTCAGGTTCGTGAAAATATTTTTTGCCAAAAAATTATAGTGTCAGTTTACAATTTTGGTGAGAACTTTTGTTCAGTGCAATCGCTTATTGCGTTGGTGTCCAGCTACGGATTGCGGACGCGTCTTGAAAGTGTCTCATTCAAGCGCACAACCAGTTAAATGTAAATGTGGACATACATGTTGCTTTTCATGTGGACACGAGTGGCATGAACCGGTGAACTGTAGATTGTTAAAACTTTGGCTTAAAAAGTGTAGTGATGATAGTGAAACAAGTAACTGGTTGTCTGCAAACACGAAAGAATGTCCTAAGTGCCAGGTATGCCAGGTTTTCATGCTTTTCTAAAAAGGAATGATAGGCACGAAGTTTAATATTTTACGAATGTATTTTGCATGAATTCAATTTTTTTTCTCTTTTTCGAATTGCATTCAGTTATGTCGATTCAATTTTTTCGTCTTTTCCCACTAAAGTTTTTTTAATTTTCATAATTCACTAAATCATGTGAAATTATATTATTTTCTCACGCAGGTGACTATTGAAAAAGACGGAGGCTGCAACCATATGACGTGTAGAAATAGTTCTTGTAAAATGGAATTTTGTTGGATGTGTTTGGGACCATGGGAACCTCATGGTAGTTCCTGGTATTCATGCAATCGATATGATGACACTTTAGCAAAACAGGCTCGTGATGCTCAAGAAAAAAGTCGTGCAGCTCTTCAACGATATTTGCACTATTATAATCGATTTATGAATCACCAGCAAAGTTTAAGATTTGAGCATAGAGTAAATATTTTCTCAATTTTTTAATATTTAATATTTAAAAATTCATTTTTCAATATTTTAATATTTCCAGAATTACTTAACATTTCCTTTTCAGCTCTATTCTACAGTTAAAGGAAAGATGGAAACTATGCAACAAGCCAATATGTCGTGGATTGAAGTCCAGTTTCTTCGTACTGCTGTCGATGTTCTTTCGGAATGTCGTCGTACATTGATGTATACATATGCTTTTGCCTTTTATTTAGTCAAAGATAATCAATCAACAATTTTCGAGGACAATCAGCGTGACCTTGAACATGCTACTGAACAGCTTTCGGAATTTCTTGAAAGAGACCTGGAACAAGAGAATCTGGTCTCACTAAAACAGAAAGTATTTTTATATTTCTATAACTGAAAAAAGTCTTAAAATTTTTTTTTACAAAATTTATAATTTCTAAAAAAATCACTATGATGCAAATGCGCTTTTTGCCTTATTTGCCTTAAAAATATACTTCATAGATTAAAAATTTATTTAGCATTCGATTATTTATTACTTCACTTATCACTTTTCACTTGATTCATTCATTACTGAATATTTTTATTCTTTTTGGAAAGATATTTTCTAGGTGCAAGACAAATATCGTTATGTTGAACAGCGTCGAACAACTCTTTTACGGCATTGCGCCGAAGGCTTCGAAAAAGGTTTTTGGAATTTCACTAAGTGATAATGGATGCCATTTTCCAACTCCTAAAACTTGAGATTGGTGCTTTTTTCCGACGAAAAGGCAATTAATAAAATTTCATTTGAAATACATTCAATCAATTTCAAATATATTAATATCAAAGGGATGTAATGACAAATTTGTATTTATTCCAGCCTATGTTGGATACTAGGTATTATTTACGGGATGAAAAAAATTTTTTCTTTAATTAATGACAATTAATATGGATTCAATCTCGATTAAGATTATATATCGTTCTTCAGTGTTCCATTGTCCGGAAAGGATTTGATTTTATAATTCTTTTCGACTTCAAAACTAATAAAAAGGATAATTTTCACCTTTTCTTATATACATCGATAAAATTTATTTCTTTTATGTTGAATACATCAACTTTATCTGATATTACGAGAAAAAACATTATACTTGTAATTTAATCATAAAAAATAATCTCCTTGTACAACAGTTAAAAAATTTAAAATTTAAAAATCTTTTTTAGTCTACAACAAAACATACAAAACTTTAAAATTTTATTTTGGAATATTTCTTAAACCACTTTTTGTTCTTATTTATTTTCTTGATTTTTCCTGATTTTTTTAAGCTATAAAATTTTATTTTGGAATATATAAATCGTTGTAAAATCTATTTTTTTAATTTTATTGTCGAACGGCATTTTTACTTTACTATTTTACTTTGTTTTAAATGGAAGACAAAGTTGTTATGTTGATTGATTTAAGAATTCAGTAATTTCAAAAAAGTGCTGTCTTACGAATATTTCTCACTCGTAAATTGTAAAAAAATTTTTTTCGTAAAAAGTTGTTAAAAATGTGCTGAAAAAAATTTAAGAGTGTTTCGTAAAAGCGATAGGTTAACCAGTGCTAATGTTTCTTGAATGGCAATTAATGCAAAATATGCACATTAATATGTGCACTGCAAAATATGTACATTAATGCATAATCATTTTCTTTAAAATTCTTCGAATTTTAAATGTAATTTGCGGTATTTATGCGATTTGATAAAAAAACAGTGCTTGCGAATAATTGTTGTAGGAATAACTGTTAGTAATCCGAATTTGTCTGAATAAATCCTAAAAAATAAGCAGAATTAAAATTTCCCCATGACTTGATATCTCTCGAACACCTACGCTTCCCATCTATTACGCAGTAATTAGTGCTAGTGAATTGGCAAACAACGATACTCCGGCCGGTCGATCTATTTTTAAAAATTAGTTTGAAAATTTCACTGGAATTCAAAAAAATTGCGAAATTGCCAAATTCACTTACGAAAGTGAGTAAAACGCAAGTGAAAATTAAATAATTCGTATATATACTTCACTCCAACTGGCGAAAATAGGACTAAAAGCAAATGTAAAGAGAAGTGAAAGTAAAAATAGGCACACACAAATACTCATAAATAAAATACGCATCGATTAGCAACGTACAACGTGTAATCGTTTTGAGTAACGAGTTCGCAGGTCAATGAATTAACGAAACAATGAATTGACCTATTCGATGGAAAATAATTTTCGGAAAGGTAGGCGGTTGGTCGGTTGTTGTGTTGGTTGTGTTCAGTGATGCACAATTTTCTTCTTCTTCCTCCATCATTAAATTGCTGCATTTATTCTCTTTAGTGGATGAATAAACGAAAGTGAACAGTTGTGCGTCGTAAAATGTCTATTGGAAAGGAAACAGAAATTTATTACAACTTACCGATTTACTGCGATCGCCAGTGTTTGCACCAATGTCACCGAACTCGTCACCAAATTCTTCTGCCACTGCTAATTATTCACTTACTTCTCATAACAATATCGAACTCTCTTGATATTTGCACAGAAAATATGGCTTGCAGAGTTCGATTAAGCCAATTCGCATTAATCGAAAGAGATTACAAGGGCGATTCGTCAGGTTGGTCATCTGGAATCGATGAACCTTTAATTTATGATGAATTTCATTCGCCATCAGTTCAACTCGATTTATTTTCCGAAGCAAATATAACTCAAACTGAGATATGTAAATGTTCGAATGGAAACGATTGCTCCTTCAATCAAACAGAAAATACAACTGATCTCGATCGAACAATTTCGTTAGCGTTTTGTTCACCAATAAATGAGTTATTTAACTGGAAATGTAATCGATATGCTTCTAGAAATTATTTACGAGTTATTGGTGAAATTGATGAAACAGGCGAGCAACTTAGAAATGTTTCCGAAGTTTTCGTATTCTGTTTGTGTCCAAATGGTTATCAACGAATGCTTGTTGAACAATGGTTTGGTGATCTATTTGCTTTCGTTTTTAAATGCTCATAAAATTATTGATAATTTGTAAAAAAATTATGTATATTTATGTACAATAAATCTTTTTTCATTGAAAAAGTTATAGACAATTTTTTTTTAAAGAGCACTCACCACTGCTGGTTAGACTCGCTCCGCTGGCTGTCGCACTAAAAAATATGCCAGGAATCCCTTGGCAATAGAAAGTATAAGTGAGTCACCAGCATCATCCGGATTTTTGGGCAGGTTTACTCCTGCTGGAAGTAAGATTTCAACAGTGCGGTCCGATTTAAGCAATAGTAACCCACTCTGCCATTCTACTCTCTTTAGCTTTTCGTCGTCAGGCGACAGTGACACCCAATGAAAAGTGGTGGGTCGGCTGATTCAAACTCAATCTTCGATTCTCGGTGTCTTGCCACTAAGCCACCGAGTACCGGAGGAGAATTATAAATAATTAAAACTGTGCGACATTTCTGATCACTGCAACAGCCATCGTTATAAATATATCATACTTTAAATGCAGATTTTATTTCAAAATTTCTCTACTGAAATTCGTGAATAAGATTCATGAATAAATAATTTAATTGATCGGAGCAAATAATTCCAGATAACAAATTATTCTTTAATTATATATTGATAAATGATAATTGTGATAAAGAAGCACAAATTAAAAGAAAATGATTTTTGACCATTTATGTAATAAATTGATAGAAATGAAGTGAAGTAAAAGGGTCAAACGGAGTTGAATGCAGCTAAGGATAAAATCCACTCCACAATCCACAGCAGCGGCGACAACCAAAATTTAATCCTAAAAAATGTATAAAAATCAACTGGTTTAAAAAATAAATCTGTTTAATAAATTTTTTTCTTAATATTTTGAAAAAAAATTCAAAATCGAATAATTCAAAAATAAATCAAAGAACATAATTCGCCAAGCAAATTCACATTAACAAGGTAACAGAGGAAAACAGCTTAGGCTTAGTGTGTTATTGTTGTTCTCACCATTACTGGTTAGGCTGGCTCTACAAGGATAAGACGCTTCCAAGCGGCGAGGTCTAATGCCATCATCGACAGTAATAGAAACCATTTCTTTTTCCATCGTCTAAGTCCATATATTGCTGGCTCACCTATACGGAATTCAAAATCTTTTCTGACCGTGTCAGTCCAGCTCCAGGTCTTGACTGGCCCACCACGCTTTTGACGCCATCCATCATAGGATTCGGCAAGTAGCGAAATTTGCCAAGTCTTTTGCTGGACGACGGAAAACTTACCCTAATTAGCGAAGGCAACGCTCTATGATAACATTATTATTAATACAGGTAATATCGATTGGGTGTTAAGCGTTGTTGCAGTTATTCCGAAGCGCCGTGGTTCTATTTCGGTATGAGTAAATCGGCCCTTCAAAAATCTGACAATGACATCTCATCTGTAGCAATTTTCAGTCGATAGCCTCAGCAACGAGCCTAATTAAAGATGAGCGCTCTAAGAAAAAAATGATTTAATAAAAGAAATAACTATAGTAATAAGCTGATTACTGATAATAATGATAATGACAAAAAGAATGACAATAATAAATAGAAAAAATAAAAAAATAATGCCAGCAAAAAAAAACTTAGACCTGAATCAAGTGACAGACCACCTATTTCGACAATATCTCAAATATTAAAGCGCAAGGTGCCAGATCGAGTCAACCGTGTTTTAGAGGGTCCTCTTCGACTGCATTTCAGCTAAAAAATAATCCGCCGATTAGCAGACGAGAAATCGGTGTACGATGATCTACCAAAAGAAAGGTCTAGAGAATTTAGAGGGGTCGTATTAAATTTGGGAAGGTTTGAGGGTCGGAGGTCAGAGTTTAGTCGACGATGTTTCACAATAGAAGGAGGTTTTATTTGTTCGGCAGAAATAGTCTTACTTTATTTATATTAATATTTAGTTTGATATTCAATATTATTTAACTTTTCCTTTTTTTATTTCGAATAGTTTTATTATTGTTTGGTTCTGAGAACATTTGGATTATTCCTCAGTGTTTTTTATTGATCGAATTAAAAATAATTATGGAAATATATCTTTTTATCGTTCGCAGTGCGATTATCCCTCTCAATGGCTTAATGATTTATTTAAACAAAAACCAATATTGCCATGGAATTGAATTTTAATTTATAATAATAATAATGGAAAAACAATGATTCAATCAACAGTTTGCTCTTTATTTTATTTTTATTTCGTTTTTTAAATTTATTCCCGATTTAAATTAAATTGGTTCTGCGTTTTTTTGTTATTGGATTGGTCAGATTTCTTTGACTTTCCTTTGAATTTCGTATTGTATTTCGTATTGAAATTTCTTTCGAATAATTAATTTACTCGAATTTTAAGTAATTTTTTAAGCATCTTTCCAAGTAAAATCATCCGTTTGGATTTCTTTGTTTATTTAGTCGCAGAAGGCTTTTGCCATTTTGAATTTAGATGAAATTGCTTTTTCTCTGTGTTTTGGAAATATTTAAACATATAATTATGTAAAATATTTCGATATTTTAAATTAAATTTTTAAATTTAATTTTTTTTAAAAGTCCTCACCATTGCTGGCTAAACCCGCTCCACTGATTTGTCACATTGAGCAATATGCCAGGGAGTTCCTTGGCGTTAGAAATACAGGTGAGTTGCCGGCATCAACCGGATACAGGCTTATGCAGGTTTACTCCTGCAGGGAATCGAATTTCAGCATCGGCGCTCCCAGTTGAACAACAACCCACTGAGCCCTTCTATCCTTTAAGTCCGCTTCCGCTTAATTAAATTATTTTTACATTAACGGATCCTCGGCTTCATTTTATTGGCTATTTATGAGTGAAAAATTATATTAAAAGATTTTCAAAGGATTTGAAAATTTGAAAATATTCCCAGGCGCAATATATTTTATTTATTATATTTAAAAAATCTTATTTAACGGTTGAAATATTGAACCAATGATACCAAATGAAGAACAGATAAACGATTGTTCTACTATGTTTAAACAAATGGAATCAAACAATGAAATAAATGTGGATAATCAACGGTTTACAGTTTCCGTTGCTTCTGAGTTCGTTTCTTTAATTTTTAATTATTATTTTCTATATTTGTTTATTTTTTGATTTAAATTTGTTTTTAATGTATTTTTATATAGTGTATAGTGTGTTTTATTTTTTTTTTTTAGGTGCACGAAACCTGAATTTATGGCAAATATCAATGAAGTTATTTATTTGGAATCTGTCAACTGCTTGCTTGTTCGTTCAGATGATGGTTCCCTAATTATGATTGATTCATCACTGGAAAATTTTTGTCCATTAGCCGTTGCACATGTTGATCCAAAAACGCGTGTAAGTGACGAAATTTTAAATAATATTGTTGCAGAAAACAGGCTTTTATAGGGTTTGTAGAATTTTTTGAAATTTGTTCATATCCGATAGTTTTTGGTTCTTTTTGAGAATGGGTTCCTCTTATGCAATTTTAAAAAATACATTTTTGAATTTTTTTAATTTTAATTTTTTATTCTATAATTATGTTACTGATTAAGATCGAGAAGTCTGCTCTTTCATAATGAAAAATGAAAAATTTCCAGATTTTTTATAATAATAACAGTGGTTCTCTTATTTTCGCTAATGAACGCTTGATGTGTATTAGACGGCAACATTCAGGAACATTTCTTCTTAAGACTGCATTAGAAACAAATTGTGGTGCGATGATCAATTTGGAAATTCCTATTGATGAGGTTTATTGCATCTGGAATATGTTATTTTACGAAAGGCCTATAATATTTCTAAACTGTAAGATCTTGGTTGCTAGACTGAAAATTTAAATAATTAAATTATAGGCCACAAGGCTAGTGCAAATGGCTTCATCAGATAATGATGATTCAGTGCTTACTAGGCGGCCAAATTTGTTTAATTTTGTTTCTACCTTAGTAGCAGCAATCGCTTGTGCTTCATCAACTCCAGTAAGTTGTTAAAATATGGATATTTTTACATTAAATTTTTAAGATTTTGTCTTGGAGATTTGTCTAGGAGAATGATTTTAATCAATGCATTCTTAAGCAAGAATCTGTGGTTGTTCAAATCAATGGCGCTGAACTCTTGCGTGAATTAAGACCTTTTGACATGCAGCGTGATAATCAAGCTGAAGTACCAGTTGAATGGTTATCACCCGTATGGCCTTTAGTTGCTTCTCTTGCGGAAAGGATACGAGTATTTTTTCATGAAATTGTCTCATTTTTCATTTTATTTTTATACCCAGTCATGCCCAGTTCTATTAAACGAATTGATATTGTCTTTAAAATCATATATTGGGAACAGATAAGGGACAGATGAATTAAATAAATTCCAGTTTATTGTTAATTGTACTATCACTAAAAAATAATAATTACAAAATTACAATGATGAATAATAATTGCAAAAAATTTTGTAGCTTCTTTTAAATCCTAAACGCCCATATAATTTCGATTATGCTCCTGAATGGAAAGGAATAGATAAAGAAACAATGGTGAGCGAAGCGGCTCGGCGATATACATTCGAGCGTTGGCCACATATGAATTATAAGTAATTTTTAGACAAATTTATTTTCTATCTATTCAGTTTATTTTGCGGTTTTATTTTATCACTTTACGTGCATCATTTGCAGATGGGCATTACCATACCAAATGGCAGAAGCTGGTTTTTATCATCAGCCAAATAAAACAGGTGATGACCGAGTTCTTTGCTTTGCTTGTCTTGTTTGTTTGGTTTGTTGGGAACCATCGGATGAACCCTGGTGATTTTTTTCAACGTTTTCAATTTTAAATTACTTAAAAGCTTGTCATTTAAAAGCTACTTATGTTTGATTTATTCACCACTTTTTCTTATCATTCAATAAGAAAAATTTAAAATTTAATAAAAGAGTTAAAATTTGTGATTGAACATAGGTTGAATTTTTGAGGTCTGAGCATGAACGTCATTCTCCTTCTTGTCGATTTGTTCGTAATGTTACGAATCCAAATGTACCAGCATCACTAACATTGTCGGCTTTAGCACCATTTGAGCATCATATGAATAACAGCAATGGCTCTTCTATAATTTTTTCTTCGACAAGAAATACTGATTGGATTGCCACTGCTTTCAATATTTCATGTGATATAAACATGTGGCGCACAGATAGAGTCGTCCAGGCAAATTTTTCTCTATGACTTATCCAAATTACAAGAATATTTTTCCACAAAAAATTAAATAATTATTAAGTTAGTTATTCATAAATAATTATTCATTTAGATTGAAGAATCTGTTTTCATTAATATATCAGATGCACTATTTCTGCTTCAAATAGGCGAATGTGGAGCTAATATAAATCGTCGACGAATGCAAAGGGTTACATGGAGTGATGATACAATGTGAGCAATACGTCTATTGGTTTTAATAAATTATAATTAAGTATATCAGTATATCACTATCATTTGAAGCTTCTTCATACGTAAATTTCTATTGTAATATTGTAGTGGAATCTCTCAGAATAAGGCGAATGAGGATTCACGAAAAGTTGTTAATTTCGAATCAAAGGATATTAGCCGAAATATGAAAATAAAAGATAGCAGTCGGCAGATGAAGGCTCAAAAGTTATCGATTTCGAAGAAAGTGCATGATGATGAAATTTTTAACGCAGAACCAGTTTTGCAAGGTTCTTTTAGATTTTTTTTTCATTGGAGTATTTTTCATTGGGATTTATTAACTTTATGATAATTTTTGCTATCTTGGACGAAAAATTTTTCCAATATTTCCATTCCATTTTTCAGGCAAAGGTATCGATTCACCTTCATCTTTAATTTCGAACGATAGATTTTCAAAGCAGGATGGGGGCGAGGCAAGTTGAATTATTCTAGCTTATGAAAAAAATTATAGTTCAATTTCCTTTTGATATCATTCTTTTCATAATAAGGCAAATAATAGATAAAACAAATTAGCATGTTTAAATATTTTTAATAAATATTTATATATAAATTTATATCCGACTTATTTAATTATTTAATTCGCTTATTGAGGTAGTTTTCTATGAAAATAGATGCATGTAGTATCTACCAGAATTTGAGTATTATTATTTTACGGTACCAGATTTATAGAGTTTCATTTTATTATTTTACGGTACCAGATTTATAGAGTTTCATTTTTCTCAATAGATTTTGTGTGATTATTATTTTCATTTTTAGCTGGATTGATTTCTAGGATTTTTAAGTTTTATAATTTCCAAACATTTTCTTAAAAATTAAGAATTATACTGGTTGAGTTTTATAGTTTTTTCTTTCAGTCTATAGTTTTAATGATGATTTGATACCTTTCTTTATTATTCAGATGATTTTTATGCTATTTTTTGAAAATGATAACTTTTGAAAAATTCAGGTAATAATCTCGAGTCTTTGTACCTTGGGTCGGCCTTATTTTATTGAACAATCATCAATTGGTGCTATAACACGTTCAAAACCTAAAAAGAGTCAATCAGTAGTAGTAGTTGGAGTTCAGTTCGATGAATCCTTAGTCACGCTCTATGCTGATGGTGAGTTTTCCTTTAATTGTGTGTTGTTGTTTATAAATTTGTTTATAATCTAAAAGTAATTTAAAACTTGTTAAAATCCGTATTTCTATGTCATTTTCTTATTAATTCCATAATACATTCAGTTTTGCTACAAAATTTTATTTTTATTTTATGCAGGTGATCATAATCGATCGAATGATATTGATAAATCAGATTTATTAAATTCGAATAATGTTTCTATAACGTCATCACAAAAAAGTTCAGTTCAAGATGATCATTCTCGAAATTATCGTCCATTCTTCTTGGTATATCGAATTGAAGAATCTGCCAAATCAATGCGTCGTAAAGGATCTGGTAATATCGCAAAAATTCATTGAAATAAGTTAAATTAAATTCATTATTGATGAAAATATAAATATAATAAATATAACACTATAGGAATGAATTTTCTATCTTTCAGATGTTGAACAAGTTTCAGAAGATGTACATCTTCCTTATTTGGTGCATGAATCTACTGTTCCGCAAAGTCTCAATGAAGATACAGATTGGGCCGAAGAAGATGAAGTGCAGTCTTCTCTAGGTTTCGAATTCTATGCTATATTTTTAAGTTTTTTGAATTTTTTTGTCATCTTCTTAACTTCTTTATTTTTATATTGTTTTGGACCTATTTTTTTGAATTTGTTTGTTCCAGATATTTTTTAGTTAGAAAATTTTTAGAAATCGCACAAAACTGGATCATTGTGGATCAGCAAGAAAATCTTGGGGCTTCGAAGGTTTCAGAGAAATATGATGAAAAAATTGATGAACCTATAGAAATAAGTTGTGAACCATCCTCTTCTGAATTTCTGCTCGAGCAGTGCTTTCGCTTGCCCGTCGAACTTGATGGAAATTTTTTCGAAGTATTGATTTTTATTATTCTTTGGTAAATATTTGAACAAGATGGACAAAATATCGTACAGTAATGGATCTTAAATCGCAATTTGTATATTCTTATTTTAAACTATAGGATTTAGATAACTTCGATCCTGCCTACAGACAATGGATGTGGATTAATAGTCGTTGTTAATCGAAATGAATCATCATATGAAGCCAGTGCCATACAATCAGCCGTTTTAATCTATCGTGTGCAATTCCCAGCAGCTTTTATTGCTGTGCAAGTGCGTATTTTGAAATGGTAACGACCGAGCAATATGTTTGGTCAATGCTAATTAGAAAATTTAGAATTAAATTAAAAAATTAAGGCACAAGCAAAATAAATCAAAGTGATATTTCTGTGTTGGTGGAATTTTTTCATTTAGATTTGACATTTTAGTTTTTTTTATGAGTTTTAAAAAATATGAGTAAAAAATTGTTTTGTAAATACTGAATTTCAGTATAACATGATATTTATGTTAATTCTGAATTCTGAATATCTTTTTAGCCGGTTCCAGTAAAAGCTTATTTTTACGAGAATACGCGGATTGAGCAATTACTCCTCATTAATTTGGAACTTATTAACAATGGCACATCATCACTATGCTCAGCTTTTGATAACAATGTTGACATTCTTGACAGTGCAATAATTGTAAGCATTTTCTTAATTTTTTAGGTTAAAATTGCGGTAAAATTGTTTCTCAGTATTCTTATCTCTCTTTTTCATCAATATATCCAGGTTGCTTGAATTTTTTAGCGAACATCGAATGGTGACGTTTGGTTGGTCAATTTGAATAATAATCAACGAGTGAGAATGACTGATGAAAAAATACAAAATATTTGTTTGACTGAGAATGGGAAATGCATTGCAGTAACTCGCAACTCAAAGGTATGATTTTTTTCATAAAAATTTTTAAATAATAGTATAGTCAAAATATAGCAAAATTGAGATAAGAATAATCTTTTAATAAATCAAAAAATATTTTGCAATAGTTATTAACATTCTATTGTGCATTTAGTTGTTTAATAAATCAGTTTCAGTTGTTACTATTGCAACTGGAAGAATTACGTTATTCGATAAACTGTATTGAAGATGAAGACAATTTCTTTTGTGGCGAATCAAAAGATAATTTCGCTATTTCCAATACAAAAGGTTATTCAAGATATTCGCTGAAATTTTTATTTTTTATTGTGGATTTCATTCCATTCTGATATATTTAGTTGTTTCGGTGCATGAAGAAATTGAGAATCATGGTACATCTCCCATGCTTGCTCTTCAGCCGCTTTCGTCTGGTATTCTAAGACGTCTCTGGAAGTTAACGAGGAGCGATGGAGGAAATTATCCCACACTGCATTCTTCTAATCAAGCAATACTTACGTCTAATCTGTTAGTGTTTAAAAAATAAATGGAATATGTTGATTAAAACTTTTTAATGATATAATATATTAATAATCTTATAATATATTATAATATATATTAAATATTATTAATATATGAATATTTTTAATATTAAAAACATTTAAAGAAGAGAATTTTTCATATTTTTAGTTATATTCAGTATAAATGGTAAAACAAAGTTTTTTTATTAGAAATGCGTTTGAAATAATAAATAATATGAATTAAACATTTTTTTTCTGAAATTTGGCATAAATTTTTTATATGTATCACAGAGTATCTGGATTTTCGGTCATTCCACCTGTTGGTTGGAATGAGGTGCAAGCACATCAAAAGATTCGAGCCAATGCCATGTATTGTTTGCGTGGTGATAATACTACCCTGGCTTGGCAGTTGCATCGTGACACGCAGTCTTTATCGAAACTTCATGCCTTTGAATTACATTTTCAGGTACATCACATATTATTAAGAATATTGCATAAGTTATTGAAAAATATTTTCACATTAGATTCATTGGTAAAATATTATGCTTGATCTAATTTCGCAAATTCTTTTCTTTTTATTAATTTACTTGTATATTTTTTTAAATTTTTGAAAATTCATATGGTCATGTCTTCAAATTTTAGTCCGGAATACGGATTTCTCATTTGAATATTCGATTCTCTTTTGTTAATCGAAGTTTCGCTTGTCCCAATGCCGAACTATACTTGTACAGAAAGCCTCAAATAGAAGCTAATTCATTCCGTCATATACATAGTGGATCAGGAGCCCCAGCATTGTTGCGTACGATCGACGACAACATGCTAAATCAGGTGGTAAAAAAGTCAATTTGCTTTTCCTTTGTGAAAAAGTAGTTTATTTTTTTAAGGAAAAATTTTTTTCAAAAGAAAGTGCTAAAACTTTTTGTTAATTTTTAAGTTGAAAATATATTTTTAATCCAATTTTTTTAGTGTGAATTGGTGGTTGGTCCATTAAAATTTTCCGACTATCTAGATTTGTCTGAAAGTGGCACTATTTTCCAACTACCTGGCAACCTATTCACTTCCCAAAATAATAATATTCAAGGTACTATTAATTTATATTAACTGTTAATATTTGCTGAAATTATTTGACGAATCTTTTGTTTCATCAGAATTAGTATATGCATTACATGTGTTGTTACGCATTACTTTGCATATATGCATTACATGCATTGTTTTCAGATAGTTGGAAAAATGCAAAATTTTCTCCGTTTTATCTCGTTATTAAATGTTTGCCTGAATTGACAGAAGAACAGGAGGTCGTAAAAAAAAGAATTGAGTAGGTCGTTTTTTACCACAGATAATATAGCGCATATGGAGAAAAAAATTAATGCATCATTTCTGGTTTGCCTCACTGCACCAAAATTTAATAGATTTAGGCAATTTTTCTAAAAATCAGCTGAAACGTAAAAGCCTCTAACACCATCCGGATTTTTTATTTTATTAACAGGTTTGTTCCTGCCAGGCGAGCTAAATTATGATTCTTCAAATAATATAATAATATACAATTTGTCCCTTCAGGTGCAAATATAAGAAAGAGAGGAATTTAAGTGTTTTTTCGTCGCTTATTGATTTTTATTGATATGTGACAAAGTTTTAAATTTTATATCACAAATTTACCTTTTTATTTAAAATGTTTGTTGAAGGGATTTCCATAAAATGTTAAATAGAAACTCTGCGAAAAAAACAGAATCGGAGGAAATAACTCTTCGTAACAAATCACTAAAAAGTGATCCATCTGGTAAAAAAAGTCAGTAAATTTTAGTCTTTTCAAATTGTTTTATATTTTACTCTATAATCACTTTAAAGTGTAGATGATTTCCAGGTGAGTCGAGAAATCCATCAGCATCTCAACCATTTAAATTTTCTAATTCCACAATTTCTTTTCTTGGTTGCATTGATGAAGTATCAATAACATTATTTAGAGCCAGAAGAGGTGTTGAAATAAATGAAAGGTTATATATTTTTACTGGAATTTTTCTATTTTATAGGAATTTTATGTCCAGTATTATCTT